CCGGCCTTGCGTGTCTTGGTTCAAGTACGCACTCAGTCTCCCAGGTCATAGGCGGAACAACATGAGTCAATTAGGTCATGGGTTTTGCCACTGCTGTAGCCTGTATCTCGATCGATCGCAGTGCAGCTCAAAAATAATTTTCATCCGCAGTCAGCAGCATTTCACGACTCCAGTGCCACAGAAAATGGTTAGAAATAACGAATTCCACCTAATAGTGTCAAGAAAGAGGCTCTCTACATCCAATATCTTCTTCAGGAAGAGATATATTGTGAAATTTGACCAGTGGGCGCTCCTTCTCCTCTGCGGCTCTTGTCCTTCTATCAAAGAGTGCTGTGCTGATGATATGAAGCTGCTTAAGCGCCCCCGAGCTGTCTTTCCAGGAATTCGACCAAAGATTATCTGGTGATCCTCATCATCAGCCATCGCTTTTGGGACCTCAACCAGGAGGAGAGATCCAACATGTGTCCATGGCAGAGCCAACAAGCTGGTGGTTTGGTCACCTTGGCCCCGTCGTCAAGCGATAGTTCTGCATGCCCCAAAGGCTAAGCGTTATTAAATCCACTAAAGACTCTGGAATTTTGAAAAGGGTTACCCATGGCTGACAGTAACCCGCAGGCTGTCCAACTATCTGCACACGATAAATTGCGTCTCCACATTCCACGCTTCCGTGTCAGGTCTAGATCGGTAGCGCTTCAACGGCCCGGACATCGATCCCACATATCCTGTCATGCCACCGCCGGTGATAGTTTCCGTAGGATGAATCGACGGCTGGGATCCGTTGCAGTCTCCTCTCACAGCCGATGGCTAGCGTGGATTGGGTTTTTTATGCTTATGTCATGGGTAGTTGAAGCTATCGTCCGGACAAGAATGTAAAATTAAAAACTCTACAAACACGTCCGGACGATAGCTTCAGCTACCCACATATGTTTATTTTCTGAGAAATAGCTGAAGCTCATGCTAACCGTCCGCTACGATACCCCTATACAGGGGAGCTATGCGTCGACATGTTTTATGAGCGTCTTTCAAAGGAAACCACTTGACCTCCTTCAGTTTAGGAGATTCTGTTAATGGCGTAGTCAGTGCAAAAGACTTTGTGCCCAACTTTCGACCCTGAGCATGAGTCTCTCTCGTACATAACTTTTCCAGGTCTCGGATGACAGTCTCTACCAAATCGCACTCGGTAAATTCGACATGTCCTACAGGATGAAATGAATCATATACCCTCATTTCCCTTCCCCTTGTTCGTCATGCTACTTCTACAGCACCAATGCAACATGTCCCACGCTCTCAGCCTCGAATAGGCGAACCTGCTTCCATCCGCATATAACTTGAAGGGGGAAAATACCTTGATTACTGGTGGTTCTTCTAGCATTGACTTAGCCATTGGAACTGCCTACGCAGAGAATGGGCAAGCCAACCAATATAGCCAAGAAGCCGAATGCGTGTTGATTTCAACGCAGAGCCAACGTTACATTGGTCGACATCAACGAAGAAGCCGGCAAGCAGCATGCTAAGGACCTGTAAGCGCGCGGACTGAAGTATGGTGGCACTCAGTCTTTCCAGCGTGTGGGCTATCTGGTTTGACAACATCAGTGTCCAATTTGTCGAGGCAGACATCCAGTCGGGGCACTCGCAGGTGGAAGCGTTCAAGACGGCAATAAATCCACCCAGCGAAGACGTCAGACATGGTCGCCGCCGGTGCTGGCATGTTCAGCGAGACTTTCATTGCGCTTGAGGAAGAGCCTCGCCTCACCTTGCTCGATGAATACGCTTAGAGCCTTCAACGGTAGCATGGGAAGCTAACGCCATCAGCGCCGCCTACACGGCCAAACTCGCCCAGCTCTACTTTGAGCTTCCATCTGTCACGTTGGGAGCTTTGGTCTCAACAAAAGAGCCCAAATTCCTCTTGCTAATCGGAAGCCTATGAGCGCACGTCCATATTCCGCTTATGGTGGCGTACACGTCGCATGCGGGGTTCGTTCAGAATCATCAGGCCAATCTTTGCTAGCCGTAGACACAGGTTCAACCTGATAGCACCATGGGCTATCCCCACGCCCATGACGGCTGAGTGGATCAAGATGTTCGACGCTGTGGGTGCCGCTGTGGGGAATGTGGATCAGGCTGTTATGTCAGCTTTGCGTTGCGCGTCGGACAAAGACGTCAATGGTACCACCTTGTTTCTTGACCCAACTGCTCTCGAGATATGACTAACTGACATCTCGCAAGGCCGTACTTTCTGTATCGGTCCGCTCTGTGTGCTTGATCTTGGAGACGATCTGGTTGGCCCGAACTCAGGCAAGGCAATGCACGACCTGCTTGCCAACGCTATGTCTGGCTGATCTGGACACGCGGAGAAGGTCTTGGCTATCATGGGGGTTTCTTCATACACAGGTAGTGGGAAGAAGCTTCACGGATTGCCTGCGATGCTGGGTTGCATGGAACTTTGGAAGTGTTGATATCGCCGGAAGTTCCATGTAACCCTAGGCGGACGTCAGCAGGTATGTAGGTATGAGCAAAGACTGTCAGGCAAAACAAGATGGCCATTCACCGGGGCAGTGGCAACCAGAGCAGCGAGCCGGATGTTCGCGCATTGCATGCTACAGTCCCCGATGTGAACGGTTCCTGGTATCTTTGTTGGAGGGTCAGCCCTTTCACCAGGCCTGTATCGAGCTTCTGCGCCGCTTCGACGATTGTCCGCGATCATGCCTCCGGCACTTGTCGATCTTGCAGTCTCCTGGGAGCCGGACCCCCGGCTTCATAACCTCGTTGATGGCCCGCTCCCTGAGCTTCTCCGGCATGTTCACCGCAGCCTTGACTGCTTCGATTAGATTTCCCGCAACGTCGCCGACATTCGCTTTGAACTCCTAAAACGTCTTCCGTAAGGCTTCGAGATTCTTCGTGGTGCGCGATTGTAATTTGCCAATAAGGCATTGGAGCTCCCTTCTGGTGGTGGTGTCCGGCATTCCAGCCAGGACGTCTGACCTCATTGATGACCGCTTCCTGGGCTGTTGTCAGTCCTGAAGAACGCGTTATTCGAGGTGATCTCGGCCAGGCGACCGAGCTGTGCCGTGTGCTGGAGGGTGATGCGGAATGGGGATTGTATTTTCCTGCGTCCGCCATTTATAAGCTTTGGGGGCGCGATCTTGGGGCTCTCAACCGCTGTTCCTCGTTGATCAGACGTGCCAGTTTGGGTCTTCTTGGTTTTGGTGCGAGCGGATGCGCGTCGGGAACTCAATAATTGTGGTGTCTTCGATCGCGGCGTTGGTCAACTGTGTTTGGGTCACCACAGGCGTCAACTCTAGATGATGTTGTCACCTTAAGAGACGCAGCCGAGTAGAGCAGGCCACTTACCGGGCAGAATGGAGCGCTGTTGATAGGTGCGATCGCCAAGGGGTGTGTTTAGTGCTTTCTTTCGGGTAGCTCAATGCCGCACCTGTTCACCTCAGCTTCGTGCCTCGGCCTGTCGTCAGCGCAAGGAATGGGATCCAGTGCGCTTGGGGTGTCAGAGGAGTCGCAGACCAAGCTGGAGTAGCGCGCAGGAGAAAGCTGCTCGTGAAAGTGATGCACAGGAACCTGAATCCACACCAGCACGTGTGATCCAAGTAGCTCTTCGAGGGACGCTTTGGGCCACGGAATCGTAGAGTTGCTGCAAGATGGCCGCCGATTGGGCTGTCCACTTACCATTGCTGTCATCGCAGGGCGAGATCCGCCACTTTGTTGCATCCATGCCACTCTGTCTGCCTCCACGGAAGGGGAGCGGCTCCGGCCGTTGCCTCATGACCGCGCACCTGCCTTGCGCATAGATTTCGGAAGCCCCGCCAGACATTGGTGACGTCAATGTGTGCCTTTTGAGCAGGAGCAGCGTGCCCCAAGCCCATCCAGTTCTGGCTTAGCTGGAGGCGTCGCCCGGTCAGTACACTGACCCCGTGCCTCCAGGTTCAACTGGTCTTGGCATGCCTATTTAAACCCTGCGACTCCTCGCCCAAGGCTCTTCTTTTCTTCTTCAGCTCTCTTTGCCATTTGGCTTAGATCAAGTGTAGTAACTGTTCTTTTCAATTTAGTCTTTGAAACGACTCTACGTGAGTCTTTTTCAAAAACTAGTTTTTGGCACCCGAGTGGCAGGTCACTGAGCACCGCTCATACTTGCTGCTCACAGTGTCGCTCGTATTGCACTACTTCGGGCTGACGCGACCTCATCTTTTCGTTGTATCTTCAGACAAAGCGCTGGAGTACGAGGAAGAGATTTTGAGCGAAAGTAACTTGGAGGCACCTCAAGTTTCTCGCTTTGTGAAGCCATTGGGTCCTGCTCTGGGCTGGGTTGCCCTCTTGCCGTGCCGCGACAGAGGTGCTCCACGATAGAAGCTTTGGTGCTGAGACGGATCGTGGCTCACCGGCAAGGTGGCCGACGAAGCTCTTGAGTACCTGCGTTTTCCACGCGACCATGGCGCCCTCTGACACGGCCTTCATCTTGGAGACATTGCGCGGTTATCAGGCCATGGCTGCGAGTCTATGTACGCAGTCGTGTCCCATTGAATGTGCGTACGCGCCTGTGTTTGAAACTTTGCTGGTCTCAACCTCCGCTGTGCGCGCTGTCATCAGTGAGCCATCTTCCTGCGACAATCACGAAGGAACGCCTCCATGCGTCCTTGGATCGGTTTGGAAGCACGACAAGGTTACAGCGCAATGCGCAGGTCTCGCCGTGCGCCAGCTGTGGGACCGCGGGCGTGGATTCGGTGAGCCGCCGTCTCGACGGTAGTAAATGCGCTTGGATCCATTCGCCATCTTGAGCGCATATTCCGGTGGGCAGAATCAAGCTTTCTCTCACATAGGCTCTACACAATCTATGGTTGATGTTCCTCACCTCTTGAACTGTCTGCCCACGACTTCGCTCGCCATCACATAACCACGACCACAAACCCTCCTCCCTCGACGTCACAAGACTTCTGCATACCATTGGCCGAACAATCGCGCATTCACCCATCATCATCGCAGCATCCACAATGTCGTCCGCCCCCGACACTCCAATCACCATCAAGACGCGCTCGGGCCGCCTTCTTGACGGTCCCGCCATTGAGGAAATCGTCGACCGCGGCCTGGCCCGTCGCGAGCGCGAGTTGACCTCTCACCGCGTCAAAGCTAAGGCTTCAGCTGCGCGCCTGGTGGAGAAAGCGCTGGGAGTGCGCTGTCTTGCCAAGAAGATCTTGGCTAGACTCAAGCGCTGAGCGGTCAGTCAGAGCAGAAGACCTATCTGATTCCGAGCAGTGCTGGAACAGCGGCTGATCGATGTGAGGCAGATACGCGCGCAATGGCAGCTTTGTGTCGGGCAAGCACAGCACCATATCCAAGGATGAATCCTGCGAAAACTCGATACAATCAGTTGGAAGAAACACCGAGCGGTCGCGACGACGGTTGCTGATGAACGCGATTGGACACGGTTTTGGTAAAGAAGAGGAGCATGATATTCTCGAATCACTGGTCACTGAACGCTACGGCTTCGAGAAATAGGCGTCACTCAGCCTCAAGGCGTCAAATGTTCGCCCGAGTTGCTGAGCGATAGCAGTAAGAATCCGTCGAGGCGTCCCCTCCTTGCAAACGAATTTGATGCACCCGCAACCCTTCGAAGTCCCCGTCGCTAAGGAAGAAGTCCTTGTCTACCTTCAATCCCCCTCCCGGAAGCACGTCCGCCTTTGCCATCCATGCTCCCACGCCTTTTGGATAGAACTGGTCATCCCAGGATGAGTACAATGAATTAGTGAAGTAGATGCGGCGACCATCGCGGCTAACCTCTACCATCTGGGGTCCCCCTCCCAATGGTTGGTCCGGCCGCGACGGATGTGCCGCTGGGTCAAAGACGCCGCCCAGGCGAACGCTGCCCGTCTCTTTCGGGTGCTTCGGATCGCTGACATCGTACTGCTTGAGTTCGCCGGTGACCCAGCATGAGACATACAAGTAGCGATCGTCGACGGACAGGTCGATATCGGTGATGATAGGAGGCACTGCGCCGCCAAACGGCTGCAGCAGGGGCGGCAGGCTGCTCGCATCATCCACCTTCTGCGCCGGAATAGTGATGACTTTCTCCAACTTCCACCGCTTCCCCTCATCGCTCTCCTCCTCGTCCAGATACCAGCGCCAGATGGACCCAGACAAGTCAGCCGTCGACACGACGACGCCGACGAACCCCCACGTCGCCTCGGGGTCATGCGACGGCCTGACCTCCAGCACCATCTGGTGCTCCTCGCCGAGGTCGATGCGCTGGACGTGCCGCCCTCGGCCCAAGTCCCAGAAGTGCAGGGCGTGGCCGTACTTGTTCGCCAGCAGTAGCTCGGGCACCAAGCCGTCCTCGAACATGGCCGGGCTGCCCCACTCGCTCGACACGAGCGTGTTGCGGTTCAGGTGCCACCACGCGTCGTAGTGGAAGTGCTGCGGGCCGCGCTGTGTCTCCCACGCGCGCACCACGTCGAACGAGTCGTGGTCGAGCAGCGCGATGCCGCCCGGCCCGTTGCCGTCATCACTGGCAGTCGCACCGCCGCTGCCCAGGCACGTCACGAAGACGCCGGACGGCCCGCAGTGCACCGTGTGCGGGCGCGAGTAGCCGGCCTGGGAGGCGAGCGCCGCGGCCGGGATGGTCTTGACGAGCGACGGGCGCCGCGGGTCGGGCGCCGTGTCGACGACGAAGATGTTGGAGGAGCGCAGGGCCGGCACGAGGAGGTAGCGGCGCTGCAGGTTGGTCGCGTCGTGGCCCTCGTGCTTGAGCGCGCTGGAGCACGCGTTCCAGCCGAAGTGGTGCAGCTCGCTGCCCGCCGGCACTTTGGTTGCGTGGATGACCCGCCCGTAGCTGCTGGACGAGCGGTCCAGGTCGACGACGAAGATGGCTTCTTCCTTTTTGTGCGCTGGATCCAGGCCTACGACGTAGGCGAGCTGCTCGGCCGGCGCGGCCATGGCGTCGGCCGGCGTGCGGTAGAAGGTGGGATCCATGGTCGAGGTCGAGTCCTCACTTTGACTGTCGCCATAATTAGAATCCTCTCGTTGGAGCAAACGAGTCGCAGTCGCCCTTACCTTGAGGCTGTACCGAGAAGTATAGTGTACAATTGACGATCACTGCGGGTCTCTCAAAGTAGCAATTGTCTCGATGGAATCGTCCAGCACATGCTGCTTGCACGCCCCATTTGTATGCACGATGCGGGGAAGCGATGATTGCTAATCGTTGATCGGATAGCCGCCATCAGCAAACGCATGGGAAAGTCGCAGTAAGATTGGAGTCTGACGTCGCTTTGCATCAATCCATGTGCCCCGCACTGCTGTAAGCCTAACTGCAAGCCTGCGCCTTCTTGCGACTCAGCCTCCCACCATCATCTCGATATCGGCTCACTTGGCAATTTTTTGTTTGTGCTGCACTGTGCCAGATTCGTACACACACTAGCTTCCCCTGCAGTGAAGTCCTCATGCTGACTGGCTTGACAGGAGGAGAACGTTAGACCCTACCCGCGCTTCCGTCAGCTCCCCATTGGAATTGACAACTGCATAGATGTGACGCCTTTGTTTGTATTGCAGTTCAAGGTTCCAGGTTTAACAGCGTGCCAATTGCATTGAATCCAGGTCATAGCAGCCAGCGTGACTGGGATTGCTTCTGGGCTCCTCGGCGTCCGTCAGTATGTGAGTGAGTATGGGATCTGCGTGGGCAGGAGGTCGGGATGCTCTCACCTAATCAAGTGTGTCGTCGCGGTTCCCATTCACAAAGCTGCGCTGGACTGTGACCCAAGGCCGTCATTCTTGTTCCAAAACCAAAGCGCGCGCGCACACAAGATATCAGCTGTCGTTGTGCGGCATACCATCATAGGCGTCGAGGTTTTTGCGAACCGCAAATAGACCTTTCACTCGACGACCTTCCGTGACATCGGCCACTGTGATGGAAGCCAAGCATTCCGCATGTGGAGACGTCACACAGGTCACGCGTGTGAAGCTTCTCAGCCATGTGCTGTGTCACTGCTGGCCTCTGCAAGGGCGAATGACCCACAGCCCAGGTCACCACCAGCCAGCCTCTTGCGCGCCCGGTTTTTGCGCAAAGCACCATGTCCAGCTGCAGCGTCTACCACTCTCGACTACATCTGGACGCACTTGAAGGAGCCACCCTCTGTGGAGGTCACCGGCCAATGTTTCCTCTTGCATTATGCCGAAGAGCTTCTTAGTTGTGGAAAGCGCTCACTGAAGCGCTGCGTGGGCGTCGGTTTCCTGATTTAGCGGCGGGTTGGTCATGCATGGCGACACGGAGGCTGAGCTGCTCGGCTGAGCGAGTCGTCGAGCCTCGTGCCTGCTCGGTTCAGAAGCCAGCAGTTTCCTCAACATCCTTCCGGGTCCAGCACGTGTGTTGCCCCGACCGACCACCCATCCTTTCAGGGTTAGCACCAAAGACGGCGCAGCTGCCGACCACCTCCGGCTGCCTATAAATACCCGTCGACTCCTCGACCAAGGCTCCTCTTTTCTTCTTCAGCTCTCTTTGCCTTTTGGCTTAGATCAAGTGTAGTAACTGTTCTTTTCAGTTTAATCTCTGAAACGGGCCTCCGGGCTCCTCTTTCAGGGCAGTATTTGGAACCGGGTGGCTGGTCCCTGAGCTCCGCTCATACTTCGCTGCCACAGTGTCGCTCGTATTGCACTATCTCGGGCTGACGCGACCAATCTTTTTCGTTGAGCGATCTGTCTTGAACAGGTCCTTGAGGAAGGAGTCTCACTTGTCTTCTCTTACTCGTCGCCCACCTGCGTGTCGCCGCGTTGTGCGGTCATCCGTGTTGCGACGGGCACCTGTCCTGGCCATAAGAGCAGCGAGCTCCACCTCCCCATCATCTCTCTCCCACACCACCAAGCCATAGTTCGCAAGTACTATCTGCGGCGAATGAAGCGCCATTCCGAGCGACGCGCAACGAATCAGCCTCCCTGCGACTCCGTCGAACTCGTCACGACCGCTCGCAGACGTTGCAAGCCACGCCCACCTCACCTTCGAGCTTTGCCTCGCACGGCCACTATCTGCGCCTATTTCTTTTCACAACATCTATAGCGCTGTCGCAGCTCTATAGCACCGTGGTGAGCGACTCCGCGCGCCCATCGGGTGGCTGACGGCGAATTAGGCCTTCAAACCGACATCCCGCCGTGAACGCACAAAGACTGCGTGACACGGACTGAACGATGATGCGCAAGCATTCGAACATGCCACCGAGTCAAGATTTACCTGCGTCTCCTGCTTAGAGGACGCAGGCGCCGCACAAGCCGCTGGTGTTCCTTTCAACATTCCTCGACCGGCGACACATGCGATACAAGTGGAGCAGACTCGGCTACCGCGGCACAGCTTCGACTTCTTGGGCTCGCTCTGCATTTTTACCAACAATGTGGAACGTGGGCTGCGCAGTTGGCTGGTCTAGCGGGATTTTGGGCTGCACAGCGCTGGCCATGCACAAACTCCACCAGAAGATCGGACCTGAACGGACAGAACATACAGTTAAGTGGCCGCATGACCAAGTCCATGTACCAAGTAGATGCTCATACTCTCGCAGATAACTAAGCGCAAAGGAATGTAGTCGATCTCATTCTTTGCACGACGTCGTCGGCAATGCTAAACAACCTCCAAACATTACGGGTAACAACGCAAGATTTCCAAAGAGGAGATTGTACTGTAGGCAAAACTCAGGCATCAGTTGCTGAAATGCTGTAAAGCTCGATGTCGAGGCTTTCAGCTGGACCCTTTACTGGTTAGCCGTCGAACGAATCATAGCGGGACCGGACGCTGTAGCCCTGGAATGTGTGGAAATGCAACAATGGCAGGTCTGTGACACTTCAATGGGCCGAAAGCCGCAAGAACGCTAACTAAGCCAGAAGGCTAAATGTTAGGAGATCACAATGACCGGCTGGGCGAAATCGAGCGCATGCGAGCCACAATACGGCGACACACGGTCCGATATTCTCACCGCCTGTCTCTGCAGGAGCATCGCATTCGATGCAGCATACAAAGGAACTTGATGTTAAGCCTTGCTCTTGGCTATGGAAACCTTCCTCAATTTATTTGCGATAATGCAATGGCCTCTACAGAAACTTTGGATAGAAGCATGACAGGTGCGAGAGATGCTCCAGTGTCTCGTCCGAGGATTTTGCGACCGTCAATATTGGTTTGTGCGGAAACAGTATCAGCAACGGTTGGTGGCTTTACCATTGTTTCCAAGCAGCAAGTATCAGAGCTCGGTGATTCCTCAGGGCAATATTACATTTGCTAACAGAGTCTGACAGCCAACTACATATTGGAACTACAATCGTGCTGTCTAGATTCCTTTCAGCGAAGAGCACCACTTCATCGTCCCCGTTCTCCCCTACGGTTGTCAACTTGACACAATGGCTCCGCTACGGCTACCTCTTGGTATTTCATAGCTAGAGAACGGTTTCACTTAGACAATTCCATGGTTTGCTACTGTTTCTAGGTAATTGTGATTCTACCGATCCGTTCGCACGAGGAAAGGAGTAAAGAATGAAGTCTTGATGGCTTTCCTGAAATGTGGAATGGAATGGAAGCCAGAGCCCAAATCAGAAGCGACTCCCCACGACGGCAGCTACGGATCAACGAACGCAAGTCACCAGGAGTCATTGGTCAAAAAGACAGCATAGCAGTCGTTCATATGCAAAGTCTTGTGCCATTAAAAGACAAGAGTAAGGCTTCTCGGCTATGGGGAGGTTACACATAAAACAAAAAAAGCGGCTCGCAAAAGTCGGGGCTGTTGGCCATAGACAGGCCGAATCGGGAAGGACGATGACTTCTCCACACGGGCGCAAAGGCCAGCTTGCCGACTTAGCCAAGCGATATCGGACCACCGGCGCTCAACGTGGCAGCTCTTAAGCATGCCAATGGCCGGTTTGTTGCAAAAGCACGAGCGGTTGTTCCACCACGGTGCTCTACTGAGCAGAAAAGCCAAGCGTAACCCAAAAACGGAAGGAGATACAAGCCAATAGCGTTGCAGAACGCCAAAGCAAAGGTACCGGTGGGCGACTTATGACACAGAGAATTGACGCGCAGCGTGGTATTCATGCGGTAAGAGGCCTAAAAAAAGTGGAAGCGAGGGAAAATATCTCGCCACGCAGCGCCGCGAGCCGCGTCTAGCCGCGAAAAGCACAGGTGTTTTGTCCACAAGCGCGCTTTTGACCATGTTTTACGAGAATGCCACGGTACCAACAAGGTATGCGCAGGAATGTATTAAAGGAAGAGACTTTGGATGCTTCTTTTCTTGGACGCGGCACCAGTGCTGGAAACCACTGCGACAACCCTCGTCCAGGCCCGACGAATGAAATTCAGGACTGGATCCGACTATCAGGAGCCTGGAAGAACACCACCCGGTGGACTGAAAGGACCAATTGCAACAGCAGACCTTGGTGCAGCATTTGCGGGCATTGACAAAGCCCTCTCGTGGAGAAAAGGATCACCGCCGAACCACACCACACCGGAATCCTCAGAGGGAGATCAGCAGGCATGGCAAAGAAGTGAAGCGAGGACAGAGAGCACTTGGTTGATGGACCAGGAAGATAAGAGATGGCGAGGGGAGGTATTTGTCAAAGTACATGAGGGGGTAAAGAATCATCCGAGAAAGAAGAAAGAGCTATTCATCAGCATAGGACACTGGAGAAGATCAACAACTCTATGACATCACGACCGATGGTTTGTGGGTCAGGTCCAAGTGCAGAGATACTTGCAGGACTGTTGCAGCAACAGACGGCCGCCGCTTCTCTGGGTTATCTGGATCCTTGTCTCCTCTGCTGTCGATGAAGGATGTCCCGGGGGGTTATCTGTCGAAGCACTCCACCTCGGTCAACCAAACGATGGGATTGAGACTGGGAGGAGACGGGTTGAGAGTGGCCTCCGGTCTTTCAACACTGGCTCAGAGAAGAGACTTGAAGAAGAGGAAGAAGAAGAAGAAGAAGAAGGAAGAAAAGAGCCAAAGACGATAGGAAAACAAGAAAGTACCATTGTTTCGTCTGACTTTCAGAGAAATGATAAGCCGTGTGATCACCTTTGCGCTCGGATACATCAATCGTCTGTAAAGGGCAGCCCGCTGCAGAGAAAGTAAGTCTACAGAGAATATCGCTCAGCTTACCGGAATTGGCAATGGGCCTGGTGTTGGTCCCGAGGGCCGCGGCGACGACCAAGGCTGCACGAGCGGCCGTCTCCTGCAGCTCTCGCGCGCTGCCATGCTCCGCCACACTCATCCCACGATGCTGCCCCACGTCGCAGGCGGCCGTCGCGATCGAGCGGTGCCGGCCGTGTGCAACAAAAGGTGACAGATTTTTCGCAGTGGCTCCTAATCCCCTTTGGGCATATCACCGTCGACCTGGGGGCGGGGTGGCAGGAGTTGGTCCTTGCCTTGGTCCCTTCCTTTGCTGAGGGGCAGCAAATGGCCCGAGACGAGGCCAACGCCCCGCCGGGAGATGCACGATTGAGTTTATCGGGCGGTTCGCTTAGGATGCGGGCGTTTGTGGTGTCTGGCGGCAGCGTGGATGGCTGGGCGGGCATCAGAAGCGGGCAGTGGCACGGGAATGCATTGACTCGCGCGCTCCACTTTGGTATATTGTCGCTCTGGACAGTCGTCTCGGCCCGCTGGTCGCTCTGATGCTGGAGCGGGTCGTGCGGGTCGTTTGGAGGCGGAGGGGTGCATGAGCCGGGGTCGAGGGCGGGTGGTCGGCAGCGCTGGCTTCACTGGCTCGTGATTGCGCCAGTCACGCAGGCCGCTCCTTTCCCAACATTCTACCAGGGGTTCTAGAAGTTCTAGAACAGACTTGTCTATCTATGAGGGAAGGGAAGGACCCTGTGGACAGCCAGCTCGGCTAGGCGCGCGAGGACAGGTCGCGGATGTTTGTCCGCTTGCGTGCATGGGCGCTCTGGGCGAGCGGTTAGTGAAGCTCCTCCACCTCGTCCCAGACGCGGTGAAACCGGAGAAACTGCAGGCGGCGGCTCCCGGACGATCGCAGGTCCGGCGGCGCAGCGGCAGGGCTGCTGCTCATATCCGGCGCCGGGCGGCTGTGGGCGGGATTACGGCCGGGTAGAAGAGGCCCGCCGTGGCAGGATGGATGCGCGAGTAAGCACCCTCTTTACCCGGCTTCCAACAATAATGGCCTGACGGCAGCGCAGCAGCAGCGTCCAACAGCTGCGCTGATAAGAATACGACTCGACGTCCGGCCCGCACCGAACTGCAACGTCACAAAGCGCATCCAGGAACCGTTCCGCTTGCTCTCCGCCCCAGGGGCCTCGCCGCGGTCTGTGGGCTCGCACCAACGCCTGCAGTGCGCTACGAAAGAGCAACTTCCGCCGAAGCGCCAACTGACGCCTGCCACCTCCCGCGCATGTGATGCCAGGGACCATCTTCATCGAAGATCTCTGTGCCTTGTGTCAGACACAGGGGTCCCGGCCCTGCCCATCAATGCGCTGATGCCTGTACGTCTGCTCATTTCTTTTAATAGTTGAATTGCGCCTATACTGCTGAGAAATAACGTGGGCCAATGCAAGGTCCTGCAGCTATTGATAGCAGGACGCCGATGTCCAACAGCTCCAGAGTCATGGTGTGCGCCCGAGATACGAGCCCTGTTACAGCTGGCGAGCCGGCCAGACCCTTGGGCCGTCTGCTCTCCAAGGAAAAAAAAAAAAAAAAGACAGCTCTGCCCATGACACAATAAGGCCGGCGGCAAGCGCCACCGACGCACCATGTCCCTACACCGACGACACGCCAGCGCACGGACTCCTGCCCTACTGCATTGCCCTTCACTATCATCCCACGAGAGCAGACCATACCCGGCGAGCAACGCCCGCTAGGCCCATCGCCTGCTGCTCCTTCGGCTGCGCAGCCTGCTCCGCCTTCTGGCGCCGCTCTAGCTCGTCGAAGATGAAAGCCTCGCTGAAATCCATATCCTCGGGCCGCACTATCTTGGTCTTGTACCACCACTTGTAGGCAAAGTAGTCGAACACGAACAGCGGCGCCGCAATGTACGTCGCGAAGAAATTCTCTGCGCTGGGCTTGGCATCAAAGGGAAAGATGGCCAGGTAGAACTCGGCCGCCAGAATCAGGAAGATGACCACGAGGCCCACGTACTGGCTCCACGGCGCGAGCATGTCGTGGAACGGCAGCGTCTTGTGGTCGATGCCCTGCGCCTTGAGGCCCTTGCGGAAGCGGATGTGCATCCAATAGATCGTGGCCCACTGCAGGAAGCCGCTGATGCCCACCTGCGCAACTCTGCGTTAGCATTGTGTCATGGGCCCGATGGGGCAGGAGCGCTGACCAGAGATGAGAACCAGTTGTACACCTGCTCCGCCGTCGAGTTGCAGTTGAGGTAGCAGAGCCCGCCGCCCAGGATCATGCTGATGGTCATGGCGACATACGGCCGCCCCTGGCGATCCTTGCGTCCAAACACCGGGTGTACCCACTTCAGGTCCGAGAGAGCACAGAGCGTGCGTGAGGCTATGTACGCGGAGGTAATGCCGCAGGAGATGACCGTGATCAGGATGAAGGCGTTGAGCGCGTGCGCAAGGCCGAAGAGGTTGCATTCCCGGATTGCCAGCACGAACGGCGATGCGAGCGTGCCCGATGCGTTCACCAGGCTAGGGTGGTTGTACGGGATACACATGCCAACGAGCCCTGTTGGGAGTGAGCCCGCCACACTCTAGACGCGGGGGACCGTTTCCACTTACAAATATTAACCACAAAAAAGGTGAACATGCGCCAGAACAGCGGCTGGACGGAGCGCTTGACGGTCTCGCGCGGGTCCTTGGCCTCGCCCGCCATGACGGCAATGTGCTCGCCTTCTCATCGTCAGTAAAGCCGACGCAAGGCGAGGAGCGCCACACTTACCGCCGCCGAAGCTGAACCCTGCTTGCACAAACGCAGCCGCAATCCCTCGGATGCCGTTGACGAAAGCACCGGGATCCTTCCAGTACCTGAACTCGATTGGCCCACGTGTTGCTGGGATTCCTCCGCTCGTCATGACAATCATGAAGAAGATGATGGCCACCAGCGCTAGACACTTTAGGAAAGAAAACCAGAACTCGACCTCTCCGTAGAGCTTGACTGGCCAAATGTTCACGAAGACGATGATGGCTAGAAAAATCGTGATCCACGCCGCCAGTGGCACACTGTACGACTTCTCCCAATAGTGGAGGACGGAGATGCAAGCCGTAATCTCGGCGGGGATAATCCTTCAAGTACATTAGTAATGGACGCGCCTCCGTAGCCATCTTCGACGTCTTACATGACCCACTTGTGGCTGTTAGCAAAGGATCATCATGTGCTGTCACAGGGGATGCTTACATTGAACCAGAAGTTGATCCCAATGGCAAAGCCGAGGGCAGGATCCACGTACTCGCCAGCTTGGCGCGTGAAGCCTCCGTGTACGGGCTTGTATGCTGTCATTTCTCCAATCGAAGTGTACATGACGTACACAATTGCCCTGTAGACGACGCTCAGCGCTCAGCCATCCAATCATATGCGGTCGGTCACTCACGCCATAATGGTGTAGGAAACGGCGATTCCTCCCGGGCCGGCTGAGGACCATAGCGTCAGTATAGTACATTTTACTTGCTTCAGCAACTAACCTTTAGCCAGTGCACTTCCAGTACCAACCCACAAACCAGTCCCGATGCCAGCACCGAACGCCATCATCATGATCTGACGCCTCTTGAGCGATCGCTCATAGCCAACCTCTACCAAGTCGACGGTGCCGACATGGCCTTCGGCAACGTCGGTCGAAGGCTCGACAGCAATGCTCGCAGCATCTTTCTTTTCGATGTCATGGTTGTCGTTCTGCGACGATGTCGAAGGTGAGGTCGTGGCAGGCTCCGTGTGTTGAGCCATTGCAGTCACAGTTCAAAGGTTGAGCAGCAGTGGTGGTAAGCTCAGGACCGCGGGCGCGCCGCAGTTCATCTACTCGTCCGCTATCTCACTATCTCCAACGTGTCGATACTCGATACAGCAACTGCAGCGCTTGTCATGATTGCACACGCAACGCCCAGCCGTCTCTGCCAGCACTCCTACATCGAGATATGCTCCGATGTGCTATCTGTCTTGGAAGCGGAGGCGGGCGACCCGATTCATCCGATACCTGTAGACTTAAGGATCAATGAAGGTCGACGCGCAAAGCTTTCACCAAGTAAGAGACGGCTTGGCTCGGCAGAGCTTGAGTTGGTTCCTATCATCGAAAGTATATCGGACGAGAGCGCGCATATGCGAGCTGCCCTCGCATTCACCCGAGACGCGATGTCTCGGCGAGCGGCTTCACGTGGCCGAGAGTCCGGGGGAGCTTGGAGCCAAAGGTGGGGTAGAGCAAGGGCCCTGGAGATCGCATGCGACCAGGGACAAGACTTCCTGATGTGAGCGAGGTCGGAGCTGTGTTTGTATGCATCCATTCATTTTAGAGCTGTAATCAGCCATCAGTTTCTGCAGGTCTCAGTTCTTCTCCTTGAATCCTACCCTCCAATCACCTCCCAAGCTCCATCACAGAATCCGAAATGTCGACGAAGCACGTTGTTTTCGACGTTGTCGGCACCTGCGTTGGCTACGACGTCTGGTTTGATGCAATTGCCGCTCAGCTGGGCGAGAGGTTTGCCAAACTCGGCATCTCGCCGCGTCTCTTTGCCTTCGCGTGGATGGAGGCGGCCGAGCGCGAGTACACCTACCTGTCCCTCTCCGGCCGCTACACCATGTTCTCCAAGCTCCAGGCCGCCCTGTTCTACCGCATGCTCTACCAAGCCGGCGTCGACGAGCCGCGCAAGTTTGCCACGGACGAGGACCTCAAGGTCATCACGGAAGCGTACAACAACCTCAAGATGCGCGACGGCGTCCCGGAGATGTTCGCCAAGCTGCGCGCAGCGGGCTTCACATGCTGGTGCCTGTCGGCCGGTGACAGGAAGCGCGTGAGCGGATACTTTGAGAAGGCAGGCGTTCCCATGCCCGCCGAGAACTTGATGAGCTGCGACTCCAGCGGGATTGGAAAGCCGGACCCCAAGGCGTACGAGCCGGCCATCCAGGCACTTGGGGATGGCGAGAAGTGGTTCGCAGCCGCACACATGTGGGACGTGTCTGCTGCGCGAACAGTCGGGTAAGTTCATTGCGCACCGCCATTCTCGGCGCTATTGCTAAGCTGGCCCAGGTTCAAGGGCGCATACACCAGCGTGTGGGAGAAGGAGCCGTGCACAGAGATCTTTGGTGAGATGGAGGTCATGGCCGAGACGCCGCTGGAGATGGCGGACAAGATCATCGCGGCATCGTCATAGCAGAGCCGAGTAATCGCAAATAAAGATGCATTGAGGCCATAGCTCCTCACTATCGATAGGCGGTTTCGCGCTTCTCCGATCCCTGCTTGCCGTTCTCCGGCTTGATACGAGTGCGGGCCGCAGCGATCTCTCCGTTGCGCAACCACTTTCTCATGTGCACTCTCGACCCTGGTGTGACTGGACGCATGCTCTTCTAGGCCAGGCTGCGAGCATCCCCGCAATCTACGGGTTCGTGCGCGTTCCCACGCCCGATGTCGGGTTCTGGTGTCGCGCGAGTCGAATGATCCTCCTATCGGGCTGCTTCCAGGGTAGTCAGTGCTTTTGAACATCAGGCTTCTTATACAGCTCGAAGTGACGTTTGCCGCGCCGAGCATTTCCACCAACTGAGTGCTGCACCGCCCTCTTACCCAGCCATCAACACACACCATGTCGTCCAAGACCGCTCAAGCGCGCCTCTCGCAAGTCGAGGGCTCGTTCAAGCCGTCATCAGAATCGATATACTCGACCGAGCCGTCGGCGGACCACGCGCCATATCCTTATCCTGTGCCAAACTCGCTGACGCCGTACTGGCGAACGGAGCTCCACCCGCTGGACAGTGCGCGCACCACGCCCGATCTACCCGCCGAGACGGACATCCTCATCATCGGTGCCGGCTACTCGGGCGCGTCGACGGCGTATCACTTGCTGAAGGACAACCCCAACCCGCCGCGGATCACGATACTAGAGGCGCGTGAGGCGTGCTCGGGCGCAACAGGGAGAAACGGTAAAAATCCACGATCGCTCAGGGCGCCGGCAGAAGAAAGTTGACGCAGGACGGACAGGCGGGCACCTCAAGCCGGACGTGTACTTCCAGGTGCCCAAGTACACGGCGCTGTTCGGGGCCGAGGCGGCCGACGAGCTGGCGGCGTTCGAGGCGTCGCAGGTGCTGGCGGTCAAGGAGCTCGTGGAGCGCGAGGGCATCGACTGCGACTTCGCGCTGACGCGGGCCGTCGACGTCTGCCTCGACGCCGACCACGCCGCCAAGTGCAAGAGCGAGTTCGCCGAGCTGCAGGCCCAGGGCCGGCCGTCGGTGCGCGACGTCTTCTTTTCCGAGGGCGCCACGGCCGAGATCATCTCCGGGGTCAAGGGCGCCAAGTGCGCCTTCACCTTCACCGCGGGCCATGTCTGGTGAGTCCTTTTTTCTGCTTCATTTACGAGAGAATTATTAGACGGGCGTGTGGGGAATATTGAAGAGCAGAAAAATAGATTGCGACGAAGGAGCGCGGGGAAATAAGCTTCTTGCTCCGGTGGGATTCCGTCCACAGCGGCCATTTTGCCTGTTGCATGCAAGGGGAGCGAAGGATGCAGCAAGTCAACGCCGGTAGCCAGCAGGAGACGACGAGAGAGGTGGCGTCGCGGAGGGGGGCGGATTGCGGCTAGAGTGCAGCTGACGCGAACCACTGGCAGGCCGTACAAGCTGGTCATGCACCTCCTGGCCATGGGCGTCGCGCGCGGCGTCAACCTGCAGACGCACACGCCCGTCACCAGCGTGAGCGAGGCGCGCGACTCGTCGGGGTGGTGGAGCGTCAACACCCCGCGCGGACAGGTGCGCGCCAAGCAGCTCGTCTACTGCACCAACGCCTACACCGCCGGCGTCGCGCCGCAGTACCGCGACAAGATCATCCCCGTCAAGGGCATCTGCAGCAGGCTCAAAGTGCCCCCGGGCGCCGCCTGCCCGCATCTGCCAAACACTTACAGCGTACGTAAGGGAAATAGCGCCATCGCGCCCCGCCATGGCTAACCACCCAGACAGCTGCGCTACGCCCCGGGCATCTACGACTACCAGATCACCCGCACCGACGGCAGCATCGTCATCGGCGGCGCCAAGCAGTGGTTCTGGCACGACCGCAGCCACTGGTACGGCGTCACCGACGACGCCTCGCTGATCGAGCCTGCGAAGCAGCATTTCCCGGGCTTCATGCAGCGCAACTACCGCGGCTGGGAGAATAGCGGCGCCGAGCTCGACTCTCTCTGGACCGGCATCATGGGCGTGAGTGCAAAATTTCCGTCTCTGCCGCACGGTTGCTCGCCGTCGCGCCACGACTCTGACCACACCTCGCTTACCCTCAGAATGCCATCGCCTCAGTATCGCTAGTGAAGTGCTGACCCGCTATTCGCAGTACACCGCCGACATGATGCCACACATTGGCGAGGTTCCGTCGAAGCCTGGCCAGTTCGTAATGGCCGGCTTCAACGGCCACGGCATGCCGCTAATCTTCCTGTCGTCCAAGGGTCTCGCCAAGATGCTCTTGGACGGCGTGCCGTTCGAGCAGACGGGCATCCCCCGGCTATTCAAGACGACGGCCGAGCGCGTGGCGAGCAATGAGAACTTGATCTTGAATAGCAAGCCGCAATAGGGGCATAGCACTGGGAACCCTGGCGCTAAGTTCGTATAGACCGCGAAATCGGATGGACAAGATGTGAGTCTGAGCGTTTGCATTTAGTCAGCAACACACAATGGTCAGTTCGGGATGGGGAGATACCCGTTCCTTGTGCCAAAGGAGTCGAAATCAGCGAGCATGCAGCAAATTTCGGAGCTGGAACAGATAATAGCATCTTCGGAGAGAAACAGAAATAGCATCCATCCGTATCGTATGGGGGACCGGCCCGCTGTTCGCCTTGACTACGGCCGTACCTATAAGCGTGCAAGACCGACCGACGTTGTGGTTGCGAGCGACGATGGTGGAGAATGAGACTTATCTCTGAAGTGATTTCAGCCCCTCATGGCGGGCCGGTGGTTGGAGATCTGGTCTGTTTTCTGAAACGAGCGGCAAGGCGCGGTTGTGGAGCACTGGTCGAAGTGCCCTCGCTCATCTCCGAAGGTCGCGGAAACGGTGCCGTCGATCATCCGTTGCGCATACCGATTAGGAAAAAGCTTCGCGACATTCAAGATAGTATCTGTCGAGCGACGGCCCGCCAAGTGGCGAGACTCTCCCGTTGTCGTCTTCGGAGAGGAGATGCATGGCCACAGCAGCACGCAGAAGCGGTGCTGTGGAAAGGAGAGGGAATCAGGATGGCGATGCGGAAAGTCGACTTGTCGATGCAGGGTCTGTGGTGCACCACTGATCTGATAGGCCCAGGCAGAGCTGCCAAGAGGCGGACTGACGTCGGGTGGAGAAAATCCAGCTTCCAATTGCTGTCTCGGAGGTTAGTTTCATGCATCGGAGCAAACCAGGAGCAGTTTCCTAGACAGACGGCATTCTGCATCCAATTCCAAAACCCCTGGGTCATTAGAAATACGTGGTCCTGCGGCTGTCAGTGTGCTATGTCATGAGTGGTGGCGGCGTCCAGCCCTGTATGCGCGACATGTGCTCTCGCGTCCACGTCTGTAGAAGCAGCGCCGATCAAAGGGGCCAGGCGCCTCTGCGTCCGTAGCTCATTGTTCCCTTCCCCAGATGATCCGCCGACCTTAGTTTGATCTTCGTTCCTTGCTGCCAGGCAAGCGCCCAGGCCAGGTTCACCCCTGCTTGGGCGCGCGGGAGCCTCAACCGCATTGGGCAGGTAATCGCCTACACCTGACGAGGGTTCGGCCCGTATAAGCCCTACCTGCACGCCCCTCGGACCATTCCCCCAAAGCGGCGAGCCATGGGAACGTGCGGCTTCTGCATGCGTTGTTATCGCCCTTCTATTGTACTCCTGCACAGCCGCCACATGGCGATGCATGGCGCGCCAAAATTGCACCACCACCACGCCAGCCGACGATAAGGCGCCGAAGCAGCCCCTCGATTCGTCTGCGAGCTTTTGGCTACTTCAGTGCCTGATCCAGAAGTCTTCTGTGCGTGTCATGGCAACCCTAGCGCACGCCCCCGATAAGGATAGCCTGCACATATCTCAAGCTACCCTCGCTTGGCGCAACCGGTGCTTTCCAAGGGCATCCAAACACTTCACAACGGCGGCCGAATCAATAGAGCCCCGCTCAAGCGCTGCGTCCAACCGAACTGCTAAACGCTCTCGTGCTAAAGCGAACGTGCTGCTGCAATCCCCGATGATTGTGGAAGTCCAGGCGTGCTCCGAACAAAAGGCTGCTCGTGGGGTGACAGTTGCGTTCGACGAGGTCAGAACCCTTTGGGTGATCCAAGTAGTACGGAAACCGTCGCAGAGAGCCAATGAGAAAAACGCATGTCTGGTTCGGGGCTGCCGTGGAGGATTGCTCGAACATCCAAGGCTGAAATGTATCCAATTCCAGGAGGCAAGGCTGTTCTGGGTCGTGGCACGTCCGGGAAAGAGTTCCTGCGTATCTTCCTAGCGCCTGGCAGCCTTCTCATTTGCTCGGCTTGTGAGATTCAGCTCAGAGACACGTAGTCCGGAGCCGTGGCAGTGGGAGAGGTCATCCTGGCGCATCCCAGGTTTTGCGTCCGTTAGTCCGAGCCTCGGGCCTCCAACCACTACAAACGTCGAATGCGGTCCACGGGCGCCAGGGCGTAATTAGTTGAACAGGTCGTGCTTGATCGCGTCGCGGCAGCAAAATAGACGTGAGAGTTCTGGGAGGCCGCCAGTTTTCAACAAGCCCATAGGCCGCGCGGCCTCGTGCAACGAAGTCGATTGCGTGCTTCCCGGCTTGTGGCGTGGCTCCTGCTGACCAAGCGACAACCTGGCGTCGCACAAAGCAGGGCCAGGTGCAGCCTCGGCTGTTGACAGACATAAGCAATCCTGCGCCAAATGGCTTGTGACTGGCCGCACGCAGGTCCTTGGCATGCTCGATGCGGGCTCCGGCTTACCCCGAAGGCGGGGCAGACTACGGCGTTGGCATTGCAAGTACGCAGACGTGATGTTTCTTCAGCGTTGAATGCGAGAGATCTCAGATGAACATGCGGGCTGACTTCACTCGACTGCTAGATAAGCTTTGGCCTCGAAGCCCGAGCATTGACCATACGCCAATTGGCCTGTCCCACGCCCCGCAATTCAAGGGTTTTTGCGGCATTTGCCAGCCTGCCGAAAAAAAATTGTACTGCAAAGTGCTTTCTCTGGCTTTCCACTGAGCTGCGCCGTTTCGATTTTCTGCACGTCCCAATCCTCTCTTTGCTGACGCAGGCACGCTCTTGTGAAAAGCAAGCCAGAGACAGAAAGCGCCGCACCAGAGTCCGAAAAGCCCAATCCCCCAGTCGGCCGTGTAAGCAAACCAATAAGTGAGCTATTGGGAAAGGATCCATCCCACTATGGACGTCGGCGAGTCCGCCTCGAGGCACAGCTCCACGATAGCATGTGCCAATTGTACTGTATTGCATACCGTGGCGTAAGAATAGGCAATTTCGACGCCTCGATGGTTGAACGAGAGACATTCTTGCCGGGATTTACGTCAAAAACGTGCGGAGAAGTCTCGTGTTCTCATCAGCGCATGCAAGTGCAGGGAGACGTAAATAGGCACGGCTCGTCAGAGCTGCCCAGCTTTCTCAGACATGGAAACAGTCTTCAGGCTCAGATCAAGATGACATGGCATATCGGGCGCCAACGACGCCAGATCCATGCAAAAAAATGCTCGATGACAGCATATGCTGCGGCTAGCTAGACGCGGGTGGCAGGATTTGCACCCACTTACGCCCTTAGCGAGCGGCAAACCTATGACCGCGGCAAACATGGCGCACCAGTCGTCCGAGAGGTGCAGCTTCACACGCATTGCCGTGTCAAAACACTCATCGTGCGCATGGATCTGTCTGGGCAAAGGATTTGATACTGATTAGGCGCGGTAGTGACTGTGCAACAATGTGCGGTACTCGAGCGCTAGCCTCCCATGAGAGTGCAGGTCAAAGGAAATTTGTCCATCAAATAGAGCCAGCCAACGCATGCCAAAGGTGTGACTGATCGCACCTCAAGCATTGCTGGCCTGAGAAACCCGGGCGCCAGATCAAGGTCCAACCGCAATTGGGCCCTCTCGTCAGTCAATCTTGCTCAATGCCTTGAATCCGGGGCATGGTGCTCCATCGAAATCGGAGGCGCCGGTAGCTGGACTTCTCAAGCCTCAGGCAGATCCCCCTTGGTTAGGTGGATCCCTCTTTGTGCCATATCCTTTCGACTGCGTCTTGTCAGCTGTGCCTTATGAAACTGCAGAATTGATGTTTCGTACCAGGCAGACTCCACAAGCCATGTCTTTCTGATAGACGAAGCGTGGGCAGTCATGCTCAAAACGCCAGCAGCAAGCGTACAAACTAAATCCCTCTCCAGCATCGGGAGGAGGAGGGGTGCGGCCTGTTTTTTCTGAATTTCCCGTAGATCCACCACCTCCCTCCGTCTGTTTTTCGTTGCCAGTAGTGCTCATTGAAAAGTCAACAAATAGATCCAGGGGTAATTTGTGATGAGGACGATGTTGAGCTGGCAGTGCATAGTCGACCGTGGACAGAATTTATATTCTCCGTGGAGTATCGCTGATGGTTTCGAGGCGCATGCAGAAAGCCCTTCACCGTGCCATCTGCACCTGGGAGAACACAGTGCTGCATGCAAGAAGCTGGAGCGGTCATCAGGCAGCAGCACAGAACGGATGAGGCGAGGCTCTGGATCCGAAATCTCGCAGTTCATAAGCGGAGCATCTCCTAGGAACCCATGGCTGAGAGCTTGGCTGTGATGTAGCACCAGGGGAGTAACAAAAGCAGGTCTGTATGGGGCACAGCGCGACGATGTATGGTGGATGGCAGCCACGGCAGTGCTCTCGGAGACAAGGATTCTGGGATATAGGATCGAGCATCAGTGAGACAGGTGGTGAGCAAACGAAGATCTGGACGAGAAGGGGCCAATCAGGGCGGGCGAGCCGCAACCAGAGCCCCGGACCGGGCCTTGAAGAAATGCGGGCGAGGGTCACAGTTGGCTGCATCTGGAACGGGCGTGAGGCGCGCAAGGCCCCGGCTCGTGGTGGTTTGTATACAGAGCGTGCGGCGCAGACAGCTGAAGAACCGGGTCTTGGTGGTCGGCGGCATGACGGCCGTCTCCGCAGGCACGATGAATGGACGCAGCACGGGAAGCGGAACGCGTGTGCCGGCGTCAATTGGACCAGTGGCAGCAGCAGCACAGGCGCGCGCGCGCGCGCAGGGTGGTGAGCAGAGAGCAGTGCCGCAGCTGAGGAGGTGGTTTTTGGACGGGTGGGGCGTGCGCAAGGTAGGCGGCGAGGTCGGTCTCCGGCGGGACAGAAATGTGGGCGGCTCGGCTGGCTTGATGAAGTCGAGTCGTTGGAATTAGCAGCGCACGCTACCGGAGCCGTAATGTCATGTGGTAACGCGGCGATTAAGAAGAGGACAAATGTACGGCCGAACGAGCCATGCATCCAGACCGGCGGCACGTGAGTCCGCCGGGCCTTGGTCGCCTTTCCTTTTGCCTGAAGTGCGGAGCGCAAGCAAAAAAGGCCGCAGCGCGCCCGCCCCATGACTGCATCACACGCCATTGTCGGGAATAAGTACGCCGCGGGTCAGCTGCGCCGGACGGCTTGCGGCAGGATGAAGCTTCGCCGCAGCTCCGCTCAAGCTCCGCCAAGGCGCACTGTGCACTGGTCCACCACGCGCCCGTCGTGCGAGCTGGAGGGCGCTGTGCTGCGCTGGAGGGCGGGCGGCGGGCAATTGGCTGGTGCGCAGGTGGTGGCCGGCAGGTGCAGCTCACGTGCAGCGGACCCAGTTCCTGCGCATGAACGCTGTGCAAGCGAGGCGACGGCTCCCTTATCTGGGCGCGCCGGATCGCCTGCTGGACCTCGGAAGGCGCTGCTACTGTGGCTTGCATGATCGTCGGCTTGCTGCTCGCTCTCAGCCGTGGGGGCACTGGCGCTGGAGCTGGGGAGGCCCGGCGCGATTGCCTGATTCCATCAGCCGGCCTCGCGCTCGCGTTATCGAGCGCACGGGACGCCGGCTTCAGCCAGAATAGCAGCAGATCGGTCGGCTGCGCAGCGCGCCTTTGCACGCGGCTCCCTGCCTCGGCGCGCGATTGGCTGCGTGTCTCTCGCGGCGACGCCGAGCGGGCGATGACGACGGGCGGTGCGTCTGGGGCGGCGCTGTGGCTGCTGGCTGCGGCTGGGCGGCAGAGGGCGCGGGCATTGGCTGGCGGGCGTCCGCAGAAGGGCGCTAGAAGCCCGGGCCCTTCGCTCGCAGCTTCGGCGCACCCGCCAACGGCTTCCATGCAGGCGGGTGATTAAAGTTGGGCGCCATCGGCCGGGTCCGCCTGCCACACGGCGCTGATTCGCAGGGCGCGAGATTTGTGCACGTCGCAGCCGCTGCGGCCCCTCCGCGCGACGCTGCCGGCGACCCTGCCCGGACGTCGCCCCCAAACGGGCCTGCTCAGGCACGCCTGCGATTGGTGGGATCGCCCGCATCGCAGCTAAGGCGATGTTACCCTACGCAGCACCGCTGTGTGGGGTTGATATGCACCCCTTCTTCACGCCACGGCCGCGCGCAGGGAGGGCGCGCTCTCCAACTGCCCGCCAGATCCTCCTTCCCTCCGCGCGACAGCTGCGCTTGGCGCTGCCAGCTGCCCCCGGTGTTGATCTTATCTCAAGCGCCTGCTCCTCTAAATAATGCACCGCACGACGTTCGCCTTCAAGAGTAGCTCCCATCCTCCTCGGCCTGGATCTACACCTCCGCCTAGCCAATCCTGCCGATTAGGTTGCGAAGCTTTCGTCCAGAGTCATGTCGTCGCTACCGCCGCCGCCGCCCTCCAGCTCCGCTCCCTCCTCCGCCCACCAACCTCAACCTGCTCTCCCCAACTCGCAGACCACCCAAGCCCCGCCCCGCAAGCGCCGCAGACGAGCGCCCGCCACGGGTGCCACTGAGGACTGTTTCACCTGCCGGAAGCGCCAGGCAAAATGCGACCGCCGCCGCCCCTACTGCACCCAGTGCCTCGAGCTGGGCAAAGAGTGCTCCGGCTACCGCACCACGCTGACCTGGGGCGTGGGCGTCGCCAGCAGAGGCAAGCTGCGCGGCATGAGCCTGCCCGTGCCCAAGTCGCCGCCCTCGCCGCCCGCCCGTGAGCGCGCCCAGAGCATGTCCCAGGCGAAGCCCGTCCCGCAGAGCGCCGCCCAGCCCGCCGTCTCCAGCCCGCCCCAGGCCCCGTCGTACGAGCAGGTCCGCCGCGCGAGCAACATCAGCCAGATCAGCCAGATCAGCCAGGTCAGCCAGGTCAGCCAGGTCAGCCAGCCCAGCGACGTCAAGTCGCCCTCGCCCATCCGCAGCCCGCCAGTGCACGAGTACCCGGGCCTGGACGCCACCAGCCCCATCTCCATCCCGCCCCCCGCCCCACAGCACATGGGCTGGCACCTGCCGGGCTTTGGAGAGCACCTGGACGGCTACGGCGGGCCCGCCTCCCGCAAGCCGCGCCCCCAGCTGCCCGTCAAGCCCCTGCACAAGCTCCACACCTCGCTCGCCGGTTCCTACGACGACACCGGCCTCTCCACCTCGACCGGCCCGCTGAGCTCCTACAGCGACAGCGTGCTGGGCGACTACCCCTCGCCGAGCGAGTTCCCCGGCACCCCGGACGACTTCGCCTACGCCGACCCCATGATCCAGTCATACAACGAGCACTACATGCACCAGCGCACCCCCATGAGCAGCTCCACCGAGTCGCTCGTCTTCCACGACGCCCCGCGCTCGTATCCCATGATCTGCGAGGACCTGAGCTCGAGCATCAGCTCCGACCAGAGCCTGCAGGATTTCTCCGAGTTGAATCCAATGCAACCAGCATCATACAGCCAGTCAGGCTTCTCAGATATGTTCTTCCCCGGCGGACTTGCAGCAGCAGCGGGACCTAACAATGCGCACATTCCAGGCTACTACTACAGCCGTGGCAGCAAGCACCCCCCGCCGGACCCTACGCCGGCGAACCATGGCTCTTCTTCTGAGCCCGCTCTCCCCCCGCCGCCGCCGCTCGCCCGCCGTCTCTCTCCCCGAATGCAGTTCCTCCTGGACTACTACGACCGGGCAATCTGCCCCGTCCTCGTGGCCTTCGACGGGCCCTCCAACCCCTACCGCATGCACGTCGTCCCCTTGGCTCGCGAGAGCGAGGGCCTGCAGAACGCCATCGCCGCATTATCCATCAACAACATCCGCATGCGCCAGAGCACCGAAGCAAGATTTCTAGCCCTCAGCAACGGCCAGAGCATCAACAGCACCGCCGCCCTCCCCGAGTGGGTCTATTCGCGTCTCACGGCCGACGAGATCAGAGAGATGCATGGAGAGCCGTCTGCCGAAGAAGTCCACTACAAAACCACATCCATCCAGCTCCTCAACGCCCAGCTTGCGGATCCACTACGCGCCAAGGACGACTCGGTGCTCGCCACGCTCCTCATCCTATGCTTGTTTCACGTTTGCGACAGCGGCTTCTCCAAGTTCCGCACCCAGCTTGCCGGCGTGCAGAAGCTGCTGGACATGCGGGACCGCAGCGTGCAGTCGGGTTTCATCGGCTGGATTGAGATGTTCTTCACGTGGTTCGACGTCATGACGTCGACCGTCAACGACCGTGAAACGCAAATCAAAGGCGACAGGCTGGACATGATGGACCTGTCGACCAATCTCGGTGCCCTTGAGCACTTGGCCGGCTGCGAGGGCCGTCTGTTCAAGCTGATTGCCCGCCTTGGGCGCCTAAATCTGCTCAGCCAGAATCGACCGGTCAGCTCGCCTTCTGACAGCACGCCCAGACCCTCGCCGTCGTACAACCGCCGCGGGGGTGACTACTACAGCATGCAGTGCTATGACCGCCTCGATGGCAACGGCTGGGGCTCGCCTGCGTCGCAGCAGCACCAGAATCCTCTGGATATTGTCGACGCAGACCAGCGGCACGAGTTCTGGACCGAGTGGCGGGATGTTCGCGACCGACTGCAACAATGGGAGTTCGAGCCTGCGGGCCGTGGTGCCGCCATGTGCGACGCAGGCCCGTACGCACTGCCGTCGGATCAGCGGGACATCCTCCACATCAGCGAGAGCTTCCGCTACAGCGCACTGCTGTACACGGAGCGCTTAGCGCATCCCAACCTGTCGTCCTCGGCCCTCAACTTCCAAAACCTGGTCGCACAGGCGCTATTCCACATCAGCCAGATCGGCGTTACTAGCTGCGTCAACAAGTTCCTGCTGTGGCCACTCTTCATTACCGGCACCGAATGCGTCGATGAAAGCCATCGCACACTGATCCGCCAACGTTGCATTGAGATCCAGCGCGAGAGCGGTTTCTTCAACAACCTGAGCGGCCTCGAGGTCCTCGAGCGCACCTGGCGCGAGGACGACGCGGGCAGGAATGACAGTGACGCCGAAGTGGCAGCCGAGGCGGCAAGACTTGGCGTCGCCAAGCAAGCTTTCAGATGGCGCAAGGCCATGGACCGAATGGACGGCGAGTATATTCTGATATGAGGGCGCAATGAATGGCGGGGCGCCTACGGAGACACAAAACACAAAATCACTAGGAACGGAAAAGAAAAACAAAACTGGTAACGTGGACATGATTGAATGAAAGGCATCAATTCGTGTGGCTCGGTGGCTCGGTTTGTGGTGAATCATTTGGGCAAAAACAAAGCAACTTTTCCTTTTGGTTATGGTACGGGATGACCGTCACCGAAGAGGTGTACCGCGCTGCGCAGCACAGCGCCAAAAAGAAGCGCATTTCTGGATAGACGGCGGGGGCTTGTTGCATACGCGGGCAGGCTTACGCGTCACATTCTTCTTCATGTTCATATGCCTTCTTCCACCCTTTTCTCCTTGGTCTATTTCTTCTCTTGTCCTTTCCAGGTGTCTGGATCTTTCCCCTCGAGTACCGACCACACCGCTCCACACGCACATGTTGACGTATATCACTCATGTACATAGGTACAGCAGCATCAAGCTCTGTTTATAAGGCACTATACCCGAGATAACTCGCAGTAAATCTTTGTTCACATTTACGTTGCATGTGCCATTGAAAACCAGGTTGAAGTTGCAGCCTGAGAAACAATTAGTGATTCTCTCTTCCATAGACAAAGATCACGACGTTCTGCTCCCTACTTCGAGTTTTGCCCTTCAAGTGGGAATGCAAATGGAGGAGAGCCAATCTTTACCGTCACTCACTCCACACGATTCTCACTCTCTAGCTTGGAGAGTAGTGCCATGAATACAACGCCGCATATTACGCCCACACATAACACAGCCCGCCTGAACTGACTCAGCCGCTTTTGTCCGTCCTCAGCTACGACCGCCCGCCTATTGTGCTCGAGCTTGCCCAGCACAACCGCCTCGCATTGAGCCAGCGCGTTTCCAGTGATAAAGAAGCCTAGTACCCAGGCGAGAATGGAGGTTGAGGCGCTCTCTAAGCGGGGCTTGTCGTCGTGGTAAGGTGACGCAGTGCCCTTGCCATGTGTCACAGCCCAGGTAAAGATGGCCAAGAAGGAGTCCAGGGAGCTGAAAAGGTAGAACGTGTAGGTGATGAGAGCCAAGCTACCCCAGCATCCGCGTCTCGGTGGAGTGGCTGTGGCAGGTGAGAGCAGGGCTAGTGCGAGCCAGGCATTTCGACACTTGCCTCTGTCATTTTCGGTGTTGCGCTGGCGCAAGTTGTTAGACTCACGAGGCTCTAGATTTGCGTCTAGTGGCGGTTGTATCTCCGGGGTGTCCAATGACTGGATCGTCTTTGTTAGACATCGTGCGTGAGAGTGGTTTCTTGCGTGGTGTGATTGAAGGATCTGTGGAAGCTCATCTGAATACGCGCGTGACGTCAAAGGAACTGATTCCTGGTGCCATGGTCGTAGGGCTATTGCTGACGATGTAACCGTGGATAATGACAATGATGGATGGGGCGCAGCACGCGTTTGTGGCGTCCAGTGGTATTTGTAGTAGTTGAACCTTTATGTGCCACGGTACTCTTGCTGTTTTCACTTTCTCTTAGACGAAGTAAGAAAGGCGGTAGCGAGGGTCTTCTCGGACCCAACTTGTTACCATAGGCTGCAAAATGAGTCGACCCTGCTTAACCGCGACATACGTACTAACAGGCGAGACATAGAAGATGATGCAAAAGGTCCTACGGCATAGTGTCACAGTGGGTTGAAGAAGATGCATCTCCGTGTGCTACGAAGGCACTGCTCTCTTTCTACGTGGGTAGTTGAAGCCGATATCCGGACGTAGATGTAGATCTGAAAATCGAATCAATATATCCGGACGTTGAATTAAACTATCCACGTGAATGAATCGTAGTGGGAAGTTACGGGAAAGCTAAAATCCTTTCTGTGTAGTGCATTCGTTGGCTTGGCGGTCACGGTTCGTCTTTAGACTTTGCTAGCGAGCGCTACCCTCCCGAATGGACCGAAGAGGGGGTCAGAAGCAATAATAAGCGACTCGTCATCCGACTTTTCAAAGCCAGGCGCTCCCATGAGAGACGCGGTTATGGCTCCGCATTTCCACCCCTAGTATCCCCAGCAGGTTGCACTGAGGCTTCCTGTTCATCACTCTCCTCCACCGGACCGTCCTCAACTCGAATGAACAAGATGGGTGCACCGAAGGCAGCAACTACAAGGCCGCAAGTAACGAACGGCAAGCCAGCAGCTACCCCGCTGCCGGATGACAGTCCTCGGTCGAAGAGTGCAGCGATCACAGGTGATCCAACCATCAAGACTGCTGTATCAACCAGACTCAGTACAGTGTATAGCCTCGCAACGTGATGCGACTCGACAAAGCTCGTCATCAAGCTACGGGTCAAGAATGTGAAGCCCCAGCCTGCGACTTCGATGGGAAGTGCAGCTATCAGTAACAGCATGGTGGGTGCGATGCCGATTCCAAACAATCCCAGCGACAGGAAGAAGGCCGACCATCTTGCCAAAAGGAGATCCTTCAACTGGGCAGCCATGCGCAGACGTGCGGTAAGAATGTGCGTTATGGCGGGAAGTATGCACAGCAGATGCACAATGATCAAGGCGGATTGAAGGCCTAGGATCAGTGTGGCACGAGACAAAGGTATGTTGAAACGGGCTGAGACGTATTGTATGAGAAGGTCGCTTGCGTTGTAGGAGAGTGAGTGTACTGAATAGGCAAGTATGAGTATGGTGATTCGTTTATCGGACCACAGGAAGGCCGTCGAGTGGCGCATGCGAGCGGAGATGGCACTGATGCGCTGTCCGATTGTTGAATGTTCCACGTGAGGAGGTGGCAAGTCCTGACTAGTGGGTTTGCTGGAGGAGTATCCCTTCGTTTCCGGAATGAGGGACACTAACGCACACATCAGACCCCAAAAGACTATTCCGACTACGGTTGGTACGAAAGGCCCCAGCCGCATGAGAATGGCGGCTATTGGTGACGAAATGAAGGTTGCGAAAAGCTGTGAAGCGCCAAATCGGAAGAAGACGGCCGCTCTGCTCCAGTCAGTTCCATGCTCAGCCGGTATCCGAGGATAACTTGCCTTTCTTGTTGGGGCGTGACATCGGCAACAATGACGTACGCTATTGCTGAGAAGACGGGAGCTCCGCCGGAGATGGAGTGTATTGCAGACAGCCACACTAGCTTGAGAGGCAAAGTCTTCCAACAAAAGCCTGTTGCACTTGGTCAGAAGCCCGGTTCAGTACACGGTCCGAAAGAGTCTCATACAGACTATCTGAATCCACACGGCCCTGGCAAACAGTGACCATGTGGTCAGGAGAATGACGGGTTTTCGGCCACGAGAGTCGGCATACCAGCCCCATGGGATGGCGAGTGAAAGGCCTACAGCATCATGAGCCCCGCACGCTGGAAAGGCTCGGAATTCAACGTACTTCCGATGGCATCGAAAAAGGTCTGCCACGCCTTGAGCATGGCAACTTTGCCTTGCACAGCTGGGATCTTGCAGAATTTCTCGGGCACATTGTCACGGCCGATCAGGCTCGGATCGTGTTCGGCAAAGTACTGGCGGCAGTATATGGCCTCGTAAATGCGCGTCAGAGCAGGAGCAGAGATGCCATCGGCGGCAACCCCGGCGATTATGATCAGCAGGAAGAGGTACGAAATTGTTGCAGGACTCCATCTCGTCCGGGCTGGTGCAGAGGGCGAGTGCGGCGGGAGAAGAGGCGACCGCTCGTCGGGACTGTGCCTCTCGGCATCGGTGCTTGCCATTGACGCGTTTCGAGGGCACACGTCGTTGCGGCGGGTGGTTCTTATCTGGTGGCTGCCTGGTTGCGGACAAGGAATCGAACTCCGACTCCGATACGGAATACGATGCCAACGGACGCCATTGGCTGCGGCGCAGGATTGCGCAAGATGGCACTGAAGAGGAAGCTCATTGCGAAGTGCTGACCTGTCAGCGACAAGTCAGCATTGCAGTCAGCGGCAAGTCAGCCAGATGAGGTGGTTCTGCGGCGGCGAGTCATGTTGCACCGCCGGCGGTCGCCCTTTTCAGTTACCTAATGGGCGCGCTTGCCAAGCCTGGGGCATTGGGTAATTTGTGACAAACGCATTCCACCGCAGGCCAATTCGCGTGTCGTTGAGGTAAGCATTATGACCGCATGCTGCCCGCCAGGAGCATCTAAATAGCCCGCCAGCCGCAACGCCGCGCCCGTACCGGACCACCTCCCTCTTGCACCTTCACCACAGCACGGATAAATGTTCATAACTGGAATTCGACGCCTCGTCTACAAGCACTGCTAACGACCTAGAGGAGCGTGTCGTATTCGGGATTGACCCAGCCAGGCTGCCCTGTCTTCGCCCTTATCGCAGGTCCGAAATAGTGCATCAGACCCAAGGCCGGCACACAGAAGAAGAAGGTGACGATTCCCTGCGCCGCAAATGTCCAAGTGTATCCGCTCGCTTCCACCCACGGCACGATGAAGAAAGGGTTCACGAATGCGCTAAAGTTCAGGACCACGGCGTAGAAGGTGATGACGCTCATCGACTGGAGCGGGTAGCAGTCGACAACGTACGCCGCCATGACCGTGTTGGCCATCTGGATCCCGGCCGCAACTGTACCGGCCATCAGCAACCTCACGACCCAGAAAGAGCTTGGAACTTACAGAGGAAAAAGGCAATCTGGCCGACAATCCAGTGGTACTGCTTATCGATGGAAATGCCCCATATGATCAGCCCGAGGGCAGTGACGAGGCTGGCAGGATACGCAAGCCAGAGTCTCATCTCGGCCACCTTGACGCCGCCGTTTTTCTTGGCCAGCTTTTTCACAAGCCAGTCGGACAGGGTACCCGAACAGAAAACCTCGGCAAACAGCGTGCCGAGGATCAGGCCGATGAACAGGAGTCCCTGGATCTGCGGCTGATACTGTGCGTACGCGCTCGGGATGTAGGTGATGACGGACAGGATCCACCAGTACCAGCCGAACGAGTAGATGCAAATGGTTCCCGACACGGCGGCATACTTCCAGGTGCAGATGAAGCGAACGAGCGAGTCCCATACCTTGGGGTGACGCATGCCAGGAACCGGCTGGACATTCACGAATGGCAGCTGCAGCGTGCGCTTCAAGGCAATGTCCTGGGCGATGCTCGGTCTGCGCTCAGTCTTCTCCAGGTCGACCACGGCCGAGTCGCTCTCACAGTACGGCATCTTGGCCAACATCTGGTTTCTCGGATACAGCGTCTCGGGCAGGAAAAAGATTTCGGCAACGAGGACGATGCCGAAGAGGATGGCATTGAGCCAGTTGACCCAGTACTGGTTCACCATGTTCATGAAGCCACCAATGAGCGGGCCGAAGAGGAGACCCTGGTCGAGGGCCAGCACCCAAAGGCCCACCTTCTGGCCGCGTTCATACTCGTAGAACATGTCGTTGATGATGGCCAGGCCGACGGTCGAGGCAGGAGAAACGCCAAGTCCCTGGAAGAAGCGTGCAGCCATGTATCCACTGTAGTCGGGCGCCTTTGCGGCGCCAATGGTGGATGCAAAGGCCATGGTTGTACCAACGAGGAAGATGGTGCGTCGGCCATAGATGTCGGCCAGCGAGGACCATATGAGCGGGCCGACTGCAAGGCCCAATGCCGGGATTGCCACTGTCCAGTTCATCTGGTCGAGCGAGATGCCGTATTGCTCCATGACGAGGGCAAACGAGGGAACCGTCTGCTCCGCGATTAGCCGCCACGCCACATATTACTCCGGAGCGGGGCTCACGTACAGTTGTTGTCAGGTAGGTGAACAAGAAATAGCTAACGGCGCGGTCAGTTTAAGCGGCCATGGAAGATAAGCTTAACACGATCCCTGCAGGCGAGACTTACAGGGCCATGACAATGGCAAGGACGGTGTTCTTCTTAGCCTTGGTCCAGTTCAGGGGGTCAAGGGGGTCTGAGGTCGGCTGGGGGTGGAGGGTCAGGCCATCCTTCAACACCACGGCCAGATCGGTCTCGACAGCAGCGGCCCCCTTCTCGCTGGCATCGCTGGCCTTCACGTCGGGCTTCGGATCGTCATGGGTTGCAGGAGGCTCCGCCACAGGGCTGACGGCGGGATCCATGGCGGCGGGCTGCTCGGTATCGAGGGAGACTTCGGCTCAGGGACCAGTTGGGCGCGAAATGAGACCAAGGCGAGCGGCGGCTGGGGCTATATGGAGGTGGACAGAGGGCGGGAAGGCCGGTAGCCGGGGCAAACGCAGATGACGCCACGGCGATACAGGAAGCGGGCGCAGCCAGACATGCCGTGTGAGATTACTGAAGACTTTCCCTCATCTATCACAGTCTAGTCTGGCAGAGGGCTTATCTCGTCGAGGCGCAAGGGTCGGAGTAGGCAGCGTGTGTGATTTGCCGCAGGGGTTGGGTCCAATATTTTTTTAAATTACGGCGTCTGGTATCGTTACGCCGAGTGAGGAAAGGCCTCGCCGGCCCACGCAAGCGAGCGGCTTCTGCAGTGCAGCGCCAGGCGCAGCATCACATTCGGCATCGCGACGGCGCAGCAGCTCGGACGGCCACACTCGGGCTGATGTCGCAGCGTCACGCCGTTGGTCCGCACGCCTCCCTCCCGACGATCACACCTTCACTTACCCGCGCACTTTAGTCAACCGCGGGTTGCCCTACCCACGATAAGCCTCGCCGCCACTCATCCGCCTCCGCAATGCTTGCTCTTCAACCGCCGTGCCTGATGCCTGCCGATCGCTGACTGCCGCGATAGGCCTGCTGCCGACGCCGCTGCTCCGTCCATGACTGTCTGCATGACTACGTACTCGTCATTCAGCATGCCATTGCATCAATCGACTGTGATAATGCCTCATGGCCATATTTGGCTGACCTGAACCCCGCCATCACCTGTCGTCCACCACCCCAGTCCCTGCCAGCATGGAGAGCAGTGCAAACTCGTGGCTTCCTGGCTTCATGCGCCGCGAGACCAAGCGTGAAGAGGCGCCCCCGAACGAGCGCACTTCTCTGCTGCCTCCGCGCGAGCGTGAAGAAGGCGAAGTCTTCGACCTGGAAGATGGAGACCGCTCCTCCGCCCAGCTCGTCCTGGTCGAGTTCTGGATCCTCCTCAAGGGCTCCATTCCCGTCATTCTGGCCTACACCTTGCAGAACTCGCTGCAGACCATCTCGGTTCTGATCGTCGGCAGGCTGTCGCCCGAGGCACTGGCCACTGCCGCCTTCTCCTACATGTTTGCCATGGCCACCGCCTGGCTGATTGCCCTCGGCGGCACCACTGCCATCGACACCCTCGCCTCGGCCAGCTTCACCGGCAGCAAGAACAAGCACGACCTCGGCATCATTCTGCAGCGCTCGTTCTTCGTTCTAGCCCTCTTCTACATCCCCGTCGCCATTCTCTGGATCTGCGCCGAGCCCGTCTTCAAGCTGCTCGGCCAGGAGCACTACATCGCCCATGACTCGGCTAGGTTTCTCTCCGCCCTGGTACCTGGCGGCCTGGGCTACATCTACTTTGAGTGCATGAAGAAGTACCTGCAGGCCCAAGGTAAGTCCATCTTTTATCAAACAGAATGAGCCCGTCTGACCCGACGCAGAAATCATGAGGCCGGGCACCTATGTGCTCTTGATCACTTCGCCCCTCAACGCCGCCCTGAACTACCTGTTTGTCTACACGCTCGATATCGGTCTTCTCGGCGCGCCCCTCGCCACTGGCATTTCCTACTGGCTGTCCTTCTTTCTTCTGCTTGCATATGCCCGCTTTGTCAATGGCTGGGAGTGCTGGGGAGGCTGGTCCCGCAAGGCTTTGTCCAACCTACGCGTCTTTTCGCGTCTCGCCTTCCTTGGTGTCGTTCATGTAGGAACTGAGTGGTGGGCGTTTGAGATTGTGGCCTTGGCCGCCGGCCGTCTCGGCACGATTCCCCTCGCTGCGCAGAGCGTCATCATGACGACCGACCAGGTCATGAACACGATTCCCTTCGGCGTCGGAGTCGCTACCAGCGCCCGCGTCGGCAACCTCCTGGGCGCCCGGAACGCCAAAGGCGCTGCGAGAGCCGCCAACACCGCCGCCTGGTTGAGCATGATCTTGGGTGCTCTTGTCCTGGCCGTGCTGATGGGCGTCAAGGACTTCTACGCGCGCATCTTCAACGACGATCCGGATGTTGTCAAGCTCACGGCACACGTCATGCCCTACGTCGCTCTTTTCCAGATCGCCGACGGATTGAACGGCAGCTGCGGAGGCGCGCTCAGGGGTATGGGAAGGCAGCACATTGGTGCTGCTGTCAATCTCGTCAGCTACTACTGCGGCGCCTTGCCGCTGGGCATCTACTTGGCTTTCCACGGCTGGGGGCTGGCCGGTCTCTGGGTCGGGCAATGCATCGCGCTGTATCTAGTCGGCGCTTTGGAGTGGGTCATTGTTGCTTTCAGTGATTGGGATAAGCAGGTCCGAAAGGCGTTTGAGAGGATGGATCACGACGATATGGCAGAGCGTGGCGTACAGGTTAGCTAGCAGCGAAAGCATTTGCCGGCTTAGAGGTCACCCATGCGGATAGGGGTGCATGAGCTTCAGTCTCAAAAGTTTCTTTTTTTCCTTAGAGAGACAAAAAGAATAAATTTTCGGTCTCTGCGGCAGGCCACAGCGAGCGAACAAGGAAGTCGGCTTTTCCGAACCTTTCTCACTGAAAGTATATACATGGCGCTGCTTATGCAGGTAATTGAACCTGTTTTCAAGATGTATTTGTACGAATTGAAAACTTACATCTACATCCGAATATTTGCCTCACGGAAAATTAATATAGCATCCTTGCGGGGTGCGCAGGGTTTAGTTTCTCTGCCGCGTTGGAATGCATGGCGCTCGCGTGCTAAAGGTCTGGATGCGAGGCGGGCTGCATCTCCACCATGCCGAGCTGCAGCATTGACCGCCGGCGGCGCCGTTGGGGAGGCGGGGCGCGTCCTTGAATTGAGTTATCGATTGCGGGCAGGGGGGGCCTGGCAATGACGTCTGAGTCGGTATCTCTCGCAATCTCCCTTGGGCTGACAGCTCGACGTTACTCAGTCGCGGACTTGATATGCAGCAGAGGCCGAGGCGGATACGGAAGGCTGGGATGGTTGGTGAGAAACGCCGTTAGGTAACGGGAGAGTGCTGGGAAGTCACAGCGAGGTTAGGTAGGGTGCTCTGCTGCCGATCCTCCGCCGCGGCGGGGCTCGCTCCAACATGCGGGACAAGCTCTATCGCTCCGTCGCTCTCCAGCCAATCAGCGTGCGCCGTGCTGCCGTGTAAGTTGATGTAGTAAGATCGAATTGACTGCCACATCAGCGGGGATTGCATCGCGCGCCCAGAAAGCCGGCCATCGTCTTTTACCTAACGCGAAAATGCGGTGGCAGCTCGCATACAAAGCAGGCCTCCGGTCGCAATGGCTGCTCGTTCCTCAAGCTTCCCCCTCCGGAGTGCATTGAGAAGAACGATGAAGACCTTCGCTCTTACTGCCGGCCTTGCAGCCTTTGCTGCCGCTCATGGCGACCACGGCCATGATCAGCGGCCAATTGAGGGCCCCCACAAGGGCCTCTGGTACAACACTCTGCCTGGTGACGGCGGTACCCAGGTGAGCTCCAATGGCTTGCATGCGGGCTGTGAGACTGACTGGTTTCCTCTAGGCCGACTCCGTTTTCTCTGGCATCTCGACCTTTGGTCGCATCCAGTACTCGCCTTGTCTTTCGACCGAGGATGTCAAGTATGACATTGCCTTCATCGGTGCGCTCAGTCGGTCCCACTTTCCAAGCTCTTGATTGACAGTTGTTGCGTAGGCGCTCCGTTCGACACTGGCACCTCTTATCGCCCTGGTGCTCGCTTCGGCCCCAGCGGTATCAGACAAGGTTCTCGCCGTCTCAATCTCTAGTATGTTAAACTGAGCGCACGTGCGCTGACCTGGTTGTGTTCGGAACCAAGGCTCACGAAGGGTTGGATTCAGCGGCGGCTACAACGTCCCACTCGACGCGAACCCGTTCAACAGCTGGGCTACGGTCATTGACTGCGGAGACATCCCTGTCACTTCGTGAGTAGCTGCATGGATGACACGTACTTACGTGGCTCTGACAGTGGTGATGCAGGTACGACAACACTTGGGCCATCAAGCAGATCGAGGAGGGCCACAACAGCGTCCTCTCGCGTTCGCCGGCCACCAACTCTCACATGAAGGGCCTGTCCAAGAAGGGCAAAACGCTTCCGCGTGTCATCACCCTCGGCGGTGACCACACCATCACCCTGCCTCTGCTGCGCAGCATCAACCGTGAATACGGTCCCGTCAGCGTCATCCACTTCGACAGCCACCTGTAAGGCCCAAAGCATTGGCTTGACTAGAGGTGACTTACTGACATGTCTTTCTCCCAGGGACACGTGGCGGCCCAAGGTCTTCGGTGGTGCTCCCAGCGAAACGGCTTCGATCAACCACGGCACGTACTTCTACCATGCTGCTCAGGAGGGCCTGCTCGCCAACGACTCCAACATCCACGCTGGTATCCGCACCACGCTCTCCGGTCTGTCCGACTACGAGAACGACGGCTACTGTGGCTTCGAGATCGTTGAGGCGCGCGAGATCGACACCATCGGTATCGACGGCATCATCAAGAAGATCCGCGACCGCGTCGGCACCGAGAAGCCCGTCTACCTCAGCATCGACATCGACACTCTCGACCCTGCCTGTGAGTATTGGCTGTGATCCCAAGCTCTTTCAAATATGCTGACTTGTGCAGTTGCCCCGGCCACTGGTACCCCCGAGACGGGCGGCTGGTCGACTCGCGAGCTCCGCACCATCATCCGTGGTCTTGATGGCATCAACCTCATCGGCGCCGACATTGTCGAGGTTGCTCCGGCGTACGATACCAATGCTGAGCACACTACCATGGCTGCTGCGGATACGCTTTACGAGGTCATGACCATCATGGTCAAGAGGGGCCCTCTCAGCCTCAGCACCATCGGCGACAACATGGAGGAACTCTGAGCACTTGATGGGCTTGGAATTGACACAAAATGAATGCATGTGTGATGACGGGGGCAATGCGGACTTTGATGCAGGTGCTTTTGGCACCTTGTTGTCCTCTCGTTTTCGGGCACCTTGATGTCTGCACCTAGTACGGATTAGAAATATGAATGAGACATGACCTGTATCTATATCTTGGAGAGCTGCGCCTGCGTTTGAGATTTAGGCCAAATTTGATGACTGGGTCATGGTGGTCCCGCCGGTCGGTCGTGCTGTCTCCTCGTCGCAATTCGGCTCGGCTCCGACAGGACGAACTTCGGCATCAACCCTGAGAACACAAGTAAACTTTGACGTCGGGGATGCAATCTACCTGTAGAAATGAGATGACGAAGTTTGAGTTCAGTGTCTGAGTTGCCCAATGCTGAAATGAACACAGGCGACATCCACAGCGGCATCCTACCTTCAGTAGTCAGACCCTAGGGTGGTTGGAAGAACAAGTGGAAAAAGAGATGTTGCGTGAAGAGTGATGTGTGCATTGCATCTAAGCTGTGTCACTTTGTAATGGGAAGGTGGTGGATCGGCAAGTTCGGCGAATTGATAAGATCTGTTTCCTTTTGCGGCTAGCGTTCCGCGGACTGCGGTGCCCATCTCACCACCGAGACGCCGGCATTCTCCCACAGCAGACCACCACCATGAACGCGTCTTCTCCGCTACTACGCGCATTCGCGCAGGCCTCACGGCTCTCTGAGTCCTGGACTTGCAGAAGCTGCGCGCGCGCCGCCATCCGCCCCCACGTCCCGCGAGCCTCGCTCCGTCGAAACATCAGCGGCACCGGCAAGCCCGCTCAGAACACATCCCAGAATGTCGCACCGACCATGGAACAATTGCGCGAACCATACAAGAACAAGAACCGCGCGACTGCGTACGTGTGGCCTCCAGCGTGCCATTGAGACGGCAGCGCGGCTAACCTGCTCGCCCGCAGGTACTACGCTCTCAGCATCATCCTCGGGACCGTTGCTCTGTCGTACGGCTCGGTGCCAATGTATAAGATGGTATGCTATTCCACTCAGCACTCAATGCCGCCTGTCTAACCCTGCCGTCTTCAGATCTGTCAAACTACCGGCTGGGGTGGTCAGCCCATCAAGTCAGCCGCCCACGCTTCCCTCGATGGCGACCCCGCCGAGCGTCTCAAGCCCGTCACTTCGTCGCGTCGACTTCGCATCACCTTCAATGGCACCGTCTCGGATGTGCTTCCCTGGAAATTCGTACCTCAGCAACGCGAAGTCCGCGTCCTTCCTGGCGAGACGGCTTTGGCATTTTATACTGCTACCAACAAGAGCGACGAGGACATCATCGGCGTGGCCACGTACAGCGTCACCCCTGGCCAGGTTGCCCCGTACTTCAGCAAAATTCAATGCTTCTGCTTCGAGGAGCAAAGACTGAACAAGGGCGAAACCGTCGACATGCCCGTCTTCTTCTACATCGATCCAAGCTTTGTCGACGATATAAATATGCGCGGAATTGACACCATTACGTTAAACTATACGTTTTTTAAAGCAAAATACGATAAGGATGGTCATCTTACGCCAGTGGCGGGTTAGATGTGGGTGGAAAAAGAGGCGAGGTGGCCAAATGTAGCTCAACACCACGGTGGTAAACCAGTAAAACATACGGTGAAAATGGATATAATCGCTGTGAGTTGATTAATCTCCTGTGCTCTGTAGACCAATCGATCATGGAGGATGGAGATTGAGTGTGGTGCTCGCCAGGGAAGGGTGCAAGGGCGTTGTGGATGCTCTCATGAATGCCGACTACGCGAACGAATGCTGCAGGCGAGGGGACCACAAGAATAAAAAAAGAAGGCGTAAGCGAAAAGGAAATGTCTGTGAGTTGGGGTCACGTACGGCTTGACCGAGCTGGCGAGCAGGATCTGAGTGCTGGAGGTCCTCTACGGACGGGACTTTGAAGGCACCATCTCCCGGGGCACAGTAGCACCATTCAAAATCTCATCACTCACTCACACCAAGTCAGGCCCGTACGCCTACCGTGCTTTTGTGACTGTCCAGAAGGCGCTACGTTCCTAACGAATCGGGAAGGACCCTGGAGTGTCAGGAAGGACCCTGAAATGTGAGCTATTTCAATCGGCCATGAGCTCCGACACTTAACAACCTCCGCCTCCACCTCCACCTCTCCATCTACATCTACCTCTCTTCTATCGCCACCTACCGCAGAGGCAGGTCGTTCTGCTGCGAACCCATCCACCTCAGTCTGCAGAGCAGAGTATCCGCCAAGATGGCTCAAGGCGATGACTACGTCGAATCTGCTCCACCAGGTGAGTGGCTCGGCTCACTTCACTTCACTCTGACGCTGACGAACAGGCTCTGCAGCACCCATCGAAGCACCCGACGCTGCAGCGCCCATCGAACAACCCGAAGCTACAGCGCCCATCGAACCCGGTTTGGACGAACGGACGGAACTTCCGGCACAGCACGACTCGAACGAGGAGACTGCCCAGGCTGGACAAGATAACTCGGGCCATGACCAACGGGCCTCAGTTGATCATACCTCACCCGCTGAATCGGACCACAGTGCGCCTCCGCGCAGGAAAATTGACTGGAAATCCATCAAAAGAACGTTGAAGGAGGAGAACACTGGAGAGACGAATACGGGCGATCCTGGGTCTGGCTCCACCCCAACGGCCCCGACTTCAGACGGCGGCAAACATGGGGTCTCTACGACTGAGGATGGCATGGAAAGCGAGGAAAGGTCAGAGGCCTTCATATCGAACAATGCTACAGCTATTAAGGCAGCTACGGACATGGCGAGGATGGCAAGGAGAGCACAACTCCGAGGAAACGGGTTCGCAAGAACCCTGTTGCTGTTGCAGAACCCATATCTGGCGATGAAAAGGAACCTCCTAAAAAGAAGCAAAGAGGACGGAAGGAGCAGGGTGGACCTTCGGGACGGAAGTCCAAGGCAGAGCTCATTACCTTCCTCAAGAACTGCCAGCGCCAAAAGCACGGCGGCATTACGACGCTAAGCACCAAGGCTCTTCAACAATATCCGGCGGAATTCACCAAGGAATGCTATATCCGGACTGATTCTGCGATCATGGGCCTGAATCGCTCTGAGCTGGGGCTCACACAGGCCGAGTATGATCGTGCAACAAAGAACTGGCCAAACCCCCTTGGCAGCGAGCTTCCAAGATTCTTCACTAGCGATGGCCATTTGAGAGAGAGGTCGCTTGCAGATAATGCTCAGGCAAGAGATAGCGCTAATGGCAAGTTCGGACGGACCAATGCTGGCAAGGATACCGAAGAAGCCGCCAACTCTACCAAGGACACCACTGCATCTACTATCCCAACTGGCGCCCAAAATGTGGTTGTTGAAGCAATCTGGAAAACTATTGGTAATGGTCAGAAGATTACAGCCGAGAAGCTTGGCCTGCAAAGAATGGGGAAAAACATCCGCAGCCTGGTTGAGTTTGCTCAAGAGAAGGCTAAGAAGGATATCCTCCATGAGCGTTTCATGACAAAAGCGTTTGAGAAGATCATGTCTCAAAGTAAGCCATGGCGCAAGTATGCACGTCAATGGAAGACTGCCTACGGAACCGCCGAGAGGCACGTCGAGCTACAGGCTAATGCGATCGAGGAACTTAAGGATTTGATCCCGGAAGATCAACTAGAGAAGCTACAGGAGCAAGATATTCCAGAGTGGAAATTAGTTCAGCTTCAGGAGCCAGAACTTCCTCTTATTGGCCAGCCTCTGACTGAAGAAGACCTTACTACTGATGACAAGGCCGCCATCAAGCCGTCAACTTCGAAGGTTAGCGTAAATTGCTCATGTCATGGGTATTTGAAGCTATCGTCCGGACGTGAATGTTTAATTTTTAATTCCACATCTACGTCCGGATGCTAGCTTCAACTCCCCCCATTTGTACAATATTCCGTTTTAGTTTACTTATCAGACGTTCTTGACTTCAAGCAAATATATCGCCCATGTCGTGGGTAGATGAAGCTATCATCCGGACGTAAATGGTGAATTAAAAATAACACATCCACGTCCAGACGATAGCTTCAGCTACCCACATATGTCATTATTCTGTGATACACTCTGAAATGTTAACAGTTTTGGCCTAAATGAGAACTTGAACCTCCCCGTGATGTTGCAATATCGAGCGGCCCGATCTGGAACGGTGGCTGAAAGATCGGAAAAGCTCGCGATCTTGAGCCGCTTCTCGCGCGGAGCCATGTTTGTGGCGCCACGGCAGCCGTCTTGCACCTGCAGCAAGCTAAGTCGGAAATGGCTAGACATGGTACGAGACGTTTTATTGTCGGAGGCTGGGAAGCGGTTAATGCGGGGTTACATGAACGGCAGGAAGCGGCAAGCGTGCGATAGCGAGTATTGAGGCCTCCTGCCATGATTTGTTTGAGGCAAAGTGCAGTCATGGAGCATTCGAGTCCCGTGTAACGTGATTGGCTTCTCCGCACCGTTGACAGGCATCGCTGGGGCGCCAGCAGAGGTCGCTAACCATGGGCCCGACCCGCATGTTCGGATCGACAGCCTCAGAGACACGGCGAGGAGCGCCCTCGATAGTAGGAGCATGACCCTCGTGCCCTCCCTGGCCCCCTACCGTCGTCATCCAAGGTACCCGTCTTTGGTTTATGCGGTTGGCGGGGGGAAAACCTGATTGTCCAAGCCACGCGTCCAAGGCGGTATTCTTATTTTCTCCCATGCAGAAATTTTTTCCAGGTTCAAACGAAGCCCAGCCTCGCATGCGCTGGCGGTGGCGGGCAGGGCGGCGTCAAGTACACGGCGAGAGCAGCACATGGGCATCGCCCTTGCATGTTGCTGCAATAGAGCTTCCATCGCACTCTTAGTACTCGGCTCTGATGCCCGTGTTTCGGTGGGGATGACGTATCGTCCGCACTGCAGCTCCGTGGTTCGCTCGGGCTCGGGATGCCGGCACCGGCACATGTGGGGAACGTCAGCTGTTGATCTGCGTCCTGCTCCAATCCTTTGCTGAACCTCCTCTTGTCCAAGCTTGTCCACGTCGACCCAGCCCATCCATGCTTGCGCCCTTCCTTGCTCTGTGGGCCGCCATCATCATGATGCCATCCTTGTTCTTGTCGCTGTACAACGCCTGCACCCCTCACGCAAGTCAACGCACATCGGGTGCCAAGTAGGGGAAGCTTTGATTATTCTGGTGAGGCTACCAAATTAAGGCTCGTCGCTCTTGTTCATGCTATAGGGTATCTGAGCGGTCGTCATTATGGGCATAAGAAAAAGAAAATGCAGGCGAGAAGGCCGGATGCACCGCCTTCGTCCCCAGACCATCAGTCATGTACTGTCCGAAACAACTTCATCATTAAACTGTCGCCCATCCCGCTGCGCCAAAGCCTGTCGCTGTTTACAGAGCGAGCAGCATGGCCACACCTGCTGCGCCGAGCAGAGGGCCGGCCGTCTTCAAGGGAGCAGCCGCACCGGTAGCCGAAGCAGCGGCAGAAGAGGCAGCACCGGATGCGCTGGAGGCCTGTTGCACGTGTTAGTGGCTGGCAAGAGCTTGTGGGCATCGTGAGGTACTTACAGCGCTCGAAGCTGCGGCACCGGCACTCTCGGTGGCAGACGAAGCAGCGGCACCGGCGCTTTCAGTGGCCGACGAGGCAGCGGAACCGGCGCTCTCAGTGGCAGAAGAAGCAGCACCCGAGGCCGACGAGAGGGCAGAACTGGCAGCACCCGACGCAGACCCGGCCGCAGACGAAGCAGCAGCACCGGCGCTCTCGGACGCGTTGGATGCACCTGCACTGGCGGAAGCGGCGGCGCCACCAACGGCAGTGTACAGGGTCGAGAGGCCAGTCGTGGTGGCGTAGGTGGTACCAGAGGCCGAGATGGTAGTGACCAGAGCTTGGGTCGAGACGGGAGTGCTGGAGCCACCGGCGCTCTCTGCGGAAGCAGAACCAGTACCGGAGGCCGTCGCAGTGGCTGCGGCCGAGGACAGGACACTCGCGCCAGAAGCCGATGACGAGACCGAGGAACCGGCGCTAGACACGGCGCTGGAGACGGCGCCTTTGTGGAGTCAGTCACGAACTTCAGCAGGCAAGCAGGCCGTTACTCACTCTGGCAGTACGAGTTGCCGTAGGCGATGACCGAGGCAGCTTGGTCGCTTCCGCAAGCCTCGTTGGCGCAGTCGCGGACTCCATAGCCGAAGTCGACTTTGGCGCAGTAGCAAGCGACGTCGCCCTGGGTGCAGCCAAAGTCACTAGTGGCAATGGAAATCATGTTGCTGATGCAGGTTTGCTGGAACGCCATGTCAGTACTGGTACGGCACCGAGGCAAGGAAGACATACGCCACACTCAGGCAGGTCGGAAAGAGTCTGAGCCACGGCCATGGCGGTGCCAATGGCAAGGACGGCGAAGGACTTCATAGCGGCGAGGAGAGTAGGGAGATAGCAGACAGTAGGATGCTGTGTAGGTGATGCTCGCAGAGGACGAGAGCTGGCAGGTCATGTAGCAGGCGACGGTGAGGGAGAAAAGGGTGGGCTGGGGGAACTTATATGCGGGCGGGCAACTGCAGCGTCGCGCCTGCCCTCATCTCCGCAGCTGCAATCTTGTTTTCCAAGTGGGCAGCAGCGGCGAGCAGCAACCGGCGTGCGTGTGAAGCCAGGCTGCCGCTCAGGCCAGCGCCGGCCCCTGCGCCGATCTGGGCCGCTAGCTGCAATGCGTCGCCATGATGGATGTTTCTCTCCACGCTCCTCGTCATCGACCGGCGCACGGAACAGGAGACTCACCTCACACCACAGGTCGTGTCGCAGTCGGAGGGAAATGAAGTCAACTCTGTGCCGTCGCACAGCGGCGCCTGTCCAGACGTGTCACGGCAGCGCACGCTGTCTCGCCTGATGCCCGTAGCCGGGGCGGTCCAGCCACCGCAAAGTGCTTGATTTGCCGGCCCAGCCATCGCGCCGCCGCCGTCGTCAACCTCAGCTCGACCAGGGCCCGGCCCTCGCGGCTCCATCACGGCCTACCCACTGCCAAACGCGCGCCGGCCAACCACTATCCGCCCTCACCGCGACAATTGCATCACCTCCCGCGTCCGGCAAACTGCTTGATTAATCTAGTTGCACGCTACATGGCCGGCTTCCGTGCCTAGCCCGCCGCCAGGTCAATGTGCGCCTGCGCCGCGTCCTGTCCGCTCGCTTGGCCTTGTTGCTCCGCCAGGTGCTTTTTCTCCGCCGACGTGATGCACTGCATGTTTGCCCCGAGCTTGTTCATCGTCTCCATCCACTCGTCGTACGGGTCCGAGTCGAACACAATCCCTCCGCCCGCTTGGAGATATGCAACTCCGTCCTTGGTCATCATCGTACGCAGTGCAATGCACTATCTCACGTTAGCCCCGTCGATTGCCCTGACTCGAGATGAATTGTGCATCGGCCACTTACCGTGTCCATGGCCCCTTCTTCCTCTTCGCCCTGCTGGTTCACGCTGCCGTACCCAAAGTAGCCGACGGCACCCGCGTAAACCCCTCTCTTCTCCTGTTCCAGCTCGGCGATCAATTCCATGGCGCGGACCTTGGGCGCGCCACTGACTGTTCCAGCAGGAAAGATGGACCGGAACGCGTCAAAGCGCGTCTTCTCGGGCCGCAGCACGCCCGAGACTTCGGATACCAGGTGCTGAACGTGCGAAAACTTCTGCACCACCATCAAGCGATCGACGCGCGTGGAAAGCGGGTCGCAAACCCTGTTCACGTCATTGCGCGCAAGATCCACGAGCATTACATGCTCGGCCCTGTCCTTTAACGAGCTCCGCAGCTCCTCGGCCAGCCGCTCGTCCTCCTCCACCGTCTTGCCACGCTTGACCGTACCCGCGATGGGGTGCGTGATGATACGTCCCTGGTCGGCCTTCACCAGCAGTTCGGGGCTCGCGCCGATTATCTGGAAATCCTCGCACTCGAGGTAGAAGAGGTAAGGCGAAGGGTTTACGGTACGTAGATGGCGGTATATGTTGAATGGGTGCAGCGAAGTAGGCCTCGAAAAGCGTTGCGATGGCACGCACTGGATAATGTCGCCCTTGCTGATGTGCTCCTTGAGCTTGTGGACGTGGCCCTCGTATCCCTCTCGCCCGATGTTCGACGTATATTCGAGGTCGGTTTTAATCGGAGGTTGCTCGGGCAACGGCACGTCCTCACGCTTGAGCTTTGCGATCGTCGCCTGCACCACCGCCTGGGCTTCGTTGTACGCACTCTCCAGCTGATCAGGGTTCTCGGGGACCTTCATGTACGTGATGACCTTGACGACCTGGAAGAAGTGGTCGAAGGCGACAATCGTGTCGAACAGCATGAAGAAGCTCTCGGGCACCTTCAGCACGTCCTTCATATCCCGCTTGGTCTTGGGCTCGAAGTATCTAACGCAGTCGTAGCCAACGTAGCCAATGGCGCCGCCGGTCAAGGGCGGGAGCTTCAGTGTGGGCACGGCGGCAACGCGGGACTTGGCCAGTTCCTTCTCGAGCAGCGGGAGGGGATCACATTCTGGGCCATGGCCAGGACCGGTCTTGAGTACACTGCGAGGTTCTGTTCTCTGAGTCAGAGGCGGCGGCGTGCGCCCGGCTTCCACACGCACCTGCACCCACAAAGCTGTACCGCCCTATCGTCTCCGTCGTGGCCGCACTCTCAAAGAGGAACGATAGCTTGGACCTAGCAGGCTCTCAGCACAGAGCCCGCGGCGTGCAGAGCAACAATTCACTGACTTGTGGGCTATCTTGAGATAAATGGACGTGGGCGTGAGGAACTCGGCGGAAATGGAGGAGCACACGGGCACGAGGTTCGGCGGGTTTGGCGTGTTCGCATGCGACGCCAGTACTTCACGCACTGTGTCGAGCGAGGGCTCGATGCCTGGCTGGAAGCACGGTCAGCACTGTTGCAGCGGCGGGGCAAGCTCTCCGTTGAGGCTTCCGCCCGCACCACGGACGCGCAGACGACGGGACAGCTTACTCGCGACGCCATTGTGGAACGTCAGCTGCGGTCTGGGGAAAGATTGGACAAGTGTGGCGTGGGGAGGAAGCGCAGCAGGAGGGAGACGCGAGACCAGTCAGAGACGCGACATTTTCGGCGGGTGAAGCTCTCGCTTGATGTCAACGCGCCGACGCGCAGAGCCAGTCAGCGTGCGGCTTGGCGCGTGTTTTGGCGGGGCTGGGATTTGCTGTTGTGACCAGCCTCAGCCCTGCCCTGTTTACTTCTTCTTCATCTCGCCCGCTTCCAGAGCGCGGCCACCGCTCCACGACGCGCCGCTTCCTCCGGCCGCGGTCACTCGGGCGATGGGCAAGTAACTTTCGAGTGCCAGCCAGCTAGACGACCGCGCCCGGGCCTTCGTCTCCACCAATCCCTTCAAAGCACGCTCCCACCCCCTCCTCCTCTGCCGCTCTATCACCCTTCTCCGCCCTCCACCACCCTCGTGCGTGCGCCAGCTCTCCACCGCCATGGCGACCAGTGCCGGTCGTCCCAGCACCCCACCCGCCCGCACCGTTCTGCACGACTCGCCCTTCTCCGACTATTATTCCGACAGTCCCTTCTCCGCCGGCCCGCAGCACGCCTCGAAGATCCAGAGCGCCCTGCTGAACCGCCTATCACAGCTGGCCGTCCAGGTCACCCGCGAGGAGCCGATCGAGCCCGTCGCACATCACGTCCAGCGTGCCCTCGACAACCTTTACGCCCTCTTCGCCGTCCCCGACACACAGACGCGCCAGCCTGCCGACCTCGAGGACTCGGGCCTCTTCATCGAGGATGAGAAAAGCGAAAGGGGACCCCTCGTCGACCATGCTCCCCTCCCATCGGTCGAGGGCAGCGTCGCCGACGAGGAACTGGAAGATGTATACGGCACCATGATCAGGATGTCCATGGAGCTGCGCGAGGGTTTCTTGGAGATGAAGGTAAGCGGTCCCCAGGTCCTTGCTGAAAGGGCCCTAACTCATCAAAGGACCACCAGACTGGCCTCATGGCCGATATGACCAAAGTGCAAACCCAAAACGACGGCCTCAAGGCTGAGAACAAATCGCTTCGCTCCCAAAACGGCATCCTTCAAGCCCAAGTCGCCGCCCTCCGCTCCAAAATCGAATCGCTCCGCACCCAGAACCAGTCTTTGCGCACGGACCTGCAGTCCGACTTCACCGAGCTCATGTCGCTCAAGCTCCAGCTCATGGCTATCGAGGTCAAGTCCGCTCTACACCTGGGCCGGGACGGCAGCGACGTTCTCAAACAGAGCATGGAACGGTGGACCGACGAGTGGCACGAGATGGATGAAAAGTTTCGCGAGCGTAGGGAAAAATTCTCCGGTGCTGTGGACCCGAATCTCCTGGACGAGGCCCACCAGCTGGCAGCCGACATTTCAGCGTTTCTAAATTTGGAAGACGGGAACCTGAAGCCAAAGACAACCCGACATCCTCGCAACCTTCCGGGCATCCATGCAAGAGGGTCGAGTGATCCATTTCCCGTGCTTGGCCGCATCGAGGAGGTCATCGAAAAGCCTGAAGAACCCGCCAGTGAAGCTCCTTCTAGTCTCACTTCGGATAGCCAATCCGACTCGGTCCCAGACCCGCCTGTTCTCGACAACGAGCAACAGGAGCCGCCGGCAGAACAGCCTAGGCCCGGCTTTCTTGCCCGTCTGTGGCCTTCGGGTCCGAAACAATTTACTATTACTAAGACACTTCTAACAGATCCTCGAAAGAGCATCTGGGATGCTTTGTCTGACGTCACTGGTGTCGGCATGTACGATGACTTTTATGATGAGTACTCGACGACCGAATAAAGCATGTCTGCGCTGTTGGTCTACGTCTCAGTCGTCACTCCGCACACCCCGTCCTTAAGTATTGCTTTCTGCTCTTGTATTGTTGCGCACCTCTCTTTCTTGCACACTCTTCAAAATTGGCTATATCCTTGTTTTTGGCGTTTCACGGCTGAGGTTGCTTTTTGATGATGTAACGCCCATGGACTGCACATGAAAACACAAAGATACCCATCTATATCTAGGCGTTCTTGGTTGTCAAAGTCTGTTGACAACCTGATGGGGGAGGAGAAAACAGGCAGACAAATCGATAGACAGTCATAGTTGCAATGCAATATGCAAGGGTTGGTACACAACCAACCCATTTTATCTCTATGTAGATTCGCTCGCCCACACCTGCATGTCAAGAAACCGCCCGTGCTTACGACTGTTTCGCTCCTGTTTTACATTCCCTTGAACTCACGGAGAGCGGGCTTTGCTAGGGGGCAACGGCTCTGATACCTGCAAGCAGACGTCTAGGCTCATTCACTCTTTCGATATACTTCAATGTACGCACGTCCACCACGTAGGATCAACTTACGGGCCGGTCCCTCAACCTTTTATTAGCTTTACGGTCTCTGGAGCACTGACCTTTCCCCTGATTTCGTGGGCCTGGGGTAATGGTCTGATCCGGCAAACATGAGACATCAGGGTCACAGTAGATATCCTACGAAACACACTATACTTGTATGGACAGCTGAAGCAAACTTACTGACGTAGGTGTAGAGTTTGAAGTTTTCAAAACTCAACCAGGCGTCACTCTCTATGGACAGGATAGTGAAACAGGGTTAAGGGGAATAAAGGAGATGGTCTCGCAAACTGTAAAAGCAAGTCACTCGAAACGGTGTGTGCACGTGCTTGATAAGATTTGTAGATAGCAATGTCATCATGGGATACAGCGTCGTCGCGTGACAGACATATTCTCGTGACGAAGTCATTGGTCAATCTAACAAGAATGGAGACATGGAAAGAATAGACGAAGAGTAACGCTGGGGATATCGCTCTATACAACAACACTATTCCAGCACGCATCGCTAGCAAAGCGAGAACCCTAAAACATCCGCCTTTTTGCTCGCCTCGACGAAGCGCCCCAAACGATTGTCACGCGCTCAAAGCAATCCTAGCTCCCTAACCCGCTGCCTGCGCCAGGAACCTACTTCCCTACGATTGATTGTCCACATCACGTACACTGAATGACAAGAACAAGAATTGTCAACTGCACTCAAACAGAAGAAGATTAACCGCATGGTAGTGGAAATTAGGAGAAAGAAAGTGGAAGGAGCATGCCCACAGAGAGTCGTGTTAGAGCACCATGCAATGATGCTCGCTGTCATAGCATCCACAGTTACATTGGCGGCTTGGTCTCCATCGGAGTGGGCGTGTGGTTTACGCCATTGGTAACGCTTCGCGGGCTGTTGCGTTCGGAGCGGGGTGGTTGCTGTACCCGCTTTTCGTCATCGCCACTGTCGTCGTAGTCTTCATCAACCTCCATCTTGCGAGCAGCCGGCTCGTGTTGCTCCTTACGCTCTTCCTTCGGTTGCTCGGCCGCATGCGGCGTCTGCGGTGGAGGCGGGGGGTGAATGGCAGGCAGCGATGGAGGGTGGTGTGCCGCCTCCGAAGGGTGATATCCATCGTTGATGTGTCTCTGCTCCTCGGGGCGGCGTGCCTCGGCAGCATCCGGAGGGGTTCGCTGTACCTGCGAGGTCTGAGAAGCCATCCTTTCGGGCGGAGAGGGACGGCGAGGTGGTTCATCGTCGTCAAGGCGCTGGCGCTTTTCGTCATTCGCGGGGGGTTTCTGAGCAGGGCTGTTGTCATCCTCCCATTCACGCAGACGCTTTGGAGCAGTCGGGGTCCTCTCATCCCGATCACGAGCAGCCGCCTCGGCAGCAGCAAGAGCTGAAGCTGGCGGAGGGGCGCCACTAGCAATTCCTCCCGGAGCTGCAGGGTCAGGATGGTGCTGATAGTTCTGGTGGGGGTAGTGTGAGTTTGGAGATGCGGCCTGGCTCTGGATGATGGGGCGAACTTCGGGGGGAGGGCTTGCGGGACGGCCATAGGGCGGCACCGGCCCAGGTCCTGGAGGTGGGCCATTCAACGAGGCTGGCGGGGCAGGTCCGTTCGAAGCGTGAGCTCCGTAATTGGGATTGGCGATCCTGTTGGGCTGGCTCTGCTGCGCTTGCTGGCCTTGCGGCGGCTGTTGCTGCGGAGGAAGGTTTGCCTGTCCACCCTGGTACAGGTTGGGGGCAGCGTTATGGCTCTTGGGCGACGGGGAGAGGCCTCGGCGAGCCGGTCCTGGGCCAGCATTCAGTCGCGGCGGTTCTTGGAACTGCCTGGGGGGCTCTTGCCTCGGGCTAGCGGGGCGAGCTGATGCCCCGGGTCTGAGCGCAGGATCGCGTTGATCGTAAGGTCCGATCTGCTGCGCCGGCATCTGCGGGTCTTGAATGCCAGCAAGGCGTCTATTCCAGTCATTACCGCCGCCGAGGGCAGCTGGAGGCAAAGGCTGCTGAGGAGCGGGTTGAGAAGGCTGAGGACCGCCCCATTGAGGCTGCGGTGGACCATTCATGGCTCCTGGTTGGTATGCCTGAGGGTGAACGTCCTGCGGCAACGGCTGGCTGTTCTGGTTCGGCATGCCGTTCGTCGGCTGGCCATTCTGCAGTAGTTGCAGGCGTGCCTTGATGTGCACGTTTGCCGGGTCAAGATCAGCTGCACGTTGGTATGCATCCAATGCGTCGGCAGTTTGGTTGTTGCAGGACTCGTACTGGGGCTGGTCAGTGCCACGCGCTAGATGCATGCAGGAAGCAAACTCACCAAAGTTCCGAGGTCGTACCAGACCTCAGAGATGTTGGGGTTCAGGCGAATGGCGCGAGAGTAAGCATCGAGTGCATCCCGATATTGGTTGATTTGGTAGTAGAGGACACCAATCGAGCACCAGAAGGTCGGGTTCCTGCCATCACGATAGACGGCCTGTTGGTAAGCTTCGTACGCCTTGGGGTACTTTTGCTGCGACATGTAACAACGACCCAGCAAGTACCAGCTCTGGGCGTCACTTTGATCTGCAGCTCGGTGTTAGTCAAGTACGCGGGCACCAATTGCTCACGAGACCGAGATCTTACCCGACGCAACGGACTTCTCCAAATACTCAATCGCTCGCTCCTGACTCTCGAAGCTGCTGCTCTGTTGATGATGAAGCCAACCGAGCTGCTGAAGGACCTTGGCATGGTTCGGGTCCCGGTCGAGAACGCGTCTGTAGGCGTTTTTCGCCGATTCGTACTAAAGAAAGTCAGCCAAGTCCCAACATTCGAGAATTGACATCCTTACGTCTTTCTGTTGTTCATACACGTGACCAATCTGGAACCAGATGTCCTCTTCCGTCAACGGTCGAGGGGGGTCATTGACAATGTATTTGAAGCACTGCGATAGATTAGATTAGGTGCAGCAGTACTCAATCGATCTTGACGTACCTCCAAACTGGACGAGAACTTTTGCTGCTGCTTGTAAATAATGCCGAGACGGAAATAGATCTCGTTGGCCTTTTCAAAGCTCGGCTCCATGCGCATCACCTGCGAAAACGCCTCTTCGGCGTGCTCGAGCGAGCCGTAGCGATCGTACAGAATGCCGATACCGTACCAGAGCTTGGGCTCCTGTTGTACGTCAGCAACCACGGAAGCCCACGTGGGGAGGCCAGGTACATACCTTTGGGTCCTGCAGGTGGTAGAGTGCCTGCTGGTAGGCAGAGTAAGCCTGCTGCAGGTCGTCCATCATGAGGTAGCAATGGCCTGCAGACAAGCGGTGAGCACAGGGAAACACACGCAGCAGGGGCGGGGAACGTACCGAGACTGCCCCAGACATCGCCATTGTTCGAATCGATCTTCAGGATGTTCTTGAGGTACTCGACGGCAGCGGGGAACTGCTCCATGCTCCGCAGGATGCACGAGATGGCCTGCATGGCAGGGACGGACCAGTTGTTGTGGCGCAGAGCGTGGTCGTAGCACTGGCGGGCGCCGTCGAGGTCGCTCATCATCTCGGAGAGGTTGCCTGTCGGTCAGTCAGAAGGCGCGGCGGCAGGAGACGGGGGTGAGGGCGTACCTAGGGCGAGCCAGGTCTGCTCGTTCGCCTGGGTGAGGACGGTCGAGATGCCGCCCTTGGCCTGGGCCGGGAAGGGAGCGTGGCCATTAGGCTGCTGGTGGCCGGGCGGGCCATGGTGGGTGGGTAGTCCCGCCGTCGGGGACGGTTGTTGGTGGGTGGCCATGTAGCGCGAGCGGTGCCGTGGTGGTTAGAGGGCGGGCGGGCGTCGGCTCTCGCAAGGGCAGGCGCTCAGACTCGCGGGCGCGTGCTCGCGGTGCGATGCCACAGAGACGCGGTTTGGAGCTGCGGACGGCGGGCCGAGAGTCGCGGACGACGCGGGCTTGTCGAGACGCGGCTCGTCCAGCGGCGGTTTGGGCAATGAAACGCCAGGTCGCGCGGGCAGCGGCACACAATGGCAGCGGCGGTGCTAGCTAGGCGGTGCAGGCAGCGCAGGCGGGGCGCTGAGCAACGGCGACGTGGGGGGGTGCGGGAGGGGGAGGGGGCGATGGGGATGGGGATGGGGAGGCGCGAGGCAGAGGGCGCAGGAGATGGAGGCGACGGGACTCGAGTGAGGGCCGAGAGGAGATGGCATTGCATTACATGAGAGCTGGGTTAGGGGAAGATTTCTGAGCGGGCTCGACAGGCGACTCAGCGTCGCTCGCGCTAAGAGCTTGGCGTGCAGGGAAGCGCAGCGGAGACGGCGCGGCTGCTCTCAATCTGCCTTTCCACGGTACCGCAGCCATCATTCCCGCACGACCCCCCCGTCCGGCACCCGTGTGTGTCGCCCACACCACACCGCTGCAGCACAAGCACACCAGCTGGGGTGCAGCGCCGCGCTGACAGGCGCACCGCCGCACGAATCTGCGCAACGCGCCTCGCATCCAGCCTGCGCAGCGCGACCGTTTCACCGGGCCCCGGCACCGGGCGCGGTGGAGCTTGGGTTGACGGTGGCCAGCACGCGAGACGGCCGCGTCGCACCGCTTCTGCTCGCCTCTTTTTCTGCCAACGTTGCCGCGGCCCCAGGAACGCCATCCACGCCTTGGCCTGCCCGACCCTTGTTTGCGGAGCCCTGTGCGCGCATCCTGCACCAGGTGGCTTTTTCTGTGCGAGATCTACGCCGCCCACGGCCAAGCACACGAACGGCCGTACAATAACGCGCGCCCCCATCGTCGCGGATCGGCGCGCCCAGCCAGCCTCTCGTCCTGACGCCTGCTTTCGTCGCCACGAGCGCCTCGCCCAGCCTGCCCGCTGCGACCGACCGTGCCTTGCACCGCCATTGGCCACACGGCGCTGCGTGCCACTGCCCTCGTTTCAAGGCGTGGATCAGCCACCGGCGCCGTCTGCATGACGCGCTCCCCGTCCCCTGTCATCGCGCTGGCCCCAACGTGCTTTATCGCCGCCCGCCGGCAGGAACCATCCCATCCTGTGCGCCCGCCCCGTGGCCCCGTCATTACCACTGCCCGCCCCCACTCGCCCTACGCACATGAAGATTTCGTTTGGCGCCCCCTACCCCCAAGCCCCCCAACCTCCTTCCGCATCCGCTGCCACCACCGTTCCGCCCCGGTACCGCCTCTCAATCTTGTGATGCTGACAGCTCGGGTGATGATTTAACTCTCGATGCATCGTTTTTCCCGTAGCTTCTATTTTGAGACCATGATAGCTGAACTTGTAAGAAAGGGCTGATGCATCGTTTTTTTTTTTTAGCTGATCATTCACATGACGGGGCTGTTTCTCCAAGCGACCGAAACCAGGTCGAAATACTTGCGATCTGTTCGCCTGTCGTGTGTACTTGTGACGATCCTAAGGTTTCACCCCCACCATCACACTATTGCTATGAGGGAGGGCCTGCACATCTGAAGAAACACGAGCTAATTGAATTACCATCGGGCAACACTGATCTACAACTCTCGAGTGCTTATTTTCGATCCAACATCCTGAAAACGCTTCAAACACATGTCAGCATCAATCAAACGCTTGCAGATTGGCGCAATACGCCGACTGCAACCGCTCGCTGAGCGGCCCGCCCCGCCTGGGCGTGCATCCACAATGGCAGCCCTGGCAACAGCCGTGAGGAGTGAGACAGTGCACACAAAGCGCAACAGGTCCAAGAAGGATGGCAGGAGTGCAGAAGGAGTCGACATGGGGAGGTATATAATACGTCCAGCGGCTATTTCAAACACTTTGTGCATCGCTCTCGACAAGCACAGCGGTACATGCACAGACAGTGAGGGATTGACGGGCGTTCGCGTCACCATCGCACAACGAAGTAGTGCTTGGGAACTAAAGCAGGCGTTGGGAGGCTCAGCCACGGCGTGGCAGCAAAGTCGTTCGACATTAAGCTTTGGCTCATCACAAACTCGCGGCTAGCCCCACCCCGTCAGGACTCGAGGGTCTCAGGGACAGGAGTGGCCCGAGCGGGAATCGCGGTCGACGAATCTCGGTGGATACGGAGGCGGCCTCCCCATGGAACGGCGCTAGAACAAAAGCGAGGCCCAGGCCGGTCGCGGGTGGGAACTTGCCAGCGGAGATGGTGGAGCGGGGCCAAAGGGGCTACCCAGAGCCTGTCATGAGCTGTCGAAGCGCCCGGGTCACATGAGATGGCGCTTTTTCGCTCCGACTCCACCGCCGACGGTCGGGTCGCTGCGGCTGTTCATGAGAGCACGTGACCTGGAGGCAGTGTGACAGCTCACCTGCCGCCGGCCCGGGCGCATTGCACTGTGGCACAGCAGGCTGCACGCCTTCACGCCTTCGTCAGGTTGCGGCCGGCCAGCGTGCACGTGGGTTGGCTGATGGAGGTCACGGTCAGAGTGCTACTGGCCCGCCCGGCCCGGACGAGGCCGCGATGACGTACCAAGCTTTTCTGCGACGGCGTCGCAGCAGACAAGAGAAATCTTGGAACCTTTTTCGCACCGCGGGGAACGTGGGGCAATGTCATACGCCTTCAGCATCCGACGCAGCCCGCTTCTTCTTGCGCGCGCCTACTCCCACGCGCTTGCTCCACCCCGCCGCCTTCCCCCCCGCATCATAGGAAACAGACGGCCCTTCACCCACTCACCCTCGATGGCTTCCGACGAAGATTATGCCGCCTTCCTGGCCAAGGCCAACCAGGACACGGGCGCAGCGCCCTCGACTCAGTCCATCAAGACCAAGGCGGTAGATGCCGAGGTGCCGCATGTCCTCCTGCAGGTCGAAGAATACTACATATCCGATGCCGACGAGCCGTTCGAGCCCGTCAGCCTCAAGTGGGATTCTGACTCGATGCCGTCCAAAGGTCAGCACGCGTATCCTCAGCAACACTTAAGCGTGGACCGCTAACGTAGTCTTCCGCTCAGGTGAATTCGCCAAGCTTATTGGACACGGGTCGGACGCATCCAGCCTCAGCCAAAACGAATTCGACCCAAAGGGTCAGTACGCGAAGGTGCTGGACGTGGTGAAGCAGGCTGGAAGCCAGGATGTTGCTATTTTCCGAGTGCAGCATGGCTCTACGAGGGCGGAATTGTACGTGGTCAGCCTGGACAAGAAGGGCGGGAGGATCGTGGGCTTGAAGGCAGTGGCAATCGAGTCCTGAAGAAATCCGGTAGAATTACTGTAATCTCAGCCGAAGGAATGGAGCTACATGCGTGTTGTGAAGATGTACGGTCACGGGCTGAAGTAAGCCCGACTAGTTCGGTCGGATATTAAAGTACAACTAACGGTTAAGGTATCAGCAACGGAGCCGATCAGCGCTGCATTCCGCCGGAACAGCGGATTGGCACAGCACAGCCAGTGGTCGGTGTGGGGAACGCGGTCGCAAGCAGAAACGGCGGCTCATTTGGACACGACCGTCTGCACCTGGCCAGGATGGGCAGCATTCCTGTATGCGGGTACCACGAGAAGCGACATGGGGCGGCTCAGGGGCGCGTCGGACGCGCAAGGAATTGAGTGTGTTGTGCTGCCGTTGATGGGCTCACGGCGGACGGGAGATCGGCGCGATTGAGAACGCGAGCACACGAGCCAGCAAAGGATCCTGGTGGGAGGACGGCAATGATGGCATGGCGGCAGGGCGTGTCAAAGTGCTTGCGCAACTCCTCGCATGTCGTGCTGCCAGCCCGACCTGATTTGCTCGCGTTGAGCCAGGGGAATGCGCCGCCTGGTCGCCTGCACCGCCCGAGATCTTAGATCGCTCAGCTGTTGCCAATTTCTATTCGCCCTCTGCCCTCCAACCCTGCTCAAATCACTCCAACACCCCAGCAACCATCCCTTTCGGTCCAGGAAATACTTTGAACGTTTTCTGCGACCGCAAACACCGGCCGCGCTCTCTCACCATCGTGCCCGCCTGGCCTTGCGCCCACCACACTCGCTTTCATGTCCCCGCCGGGCTCACCTGCGCAGAATGCGCCGCCGCATATTCGCCTCAACTCCAACACCACCGACCTTGTCACCGATGCTCCCGTCGAACGCCCTGGTGCGGTGCGCCAGGACTCGTCGCGCTCGTTGACCGTCGACACCCGTCCCGTCTACAACCAGCCCAGCCCTGCGCAAGAATCAGCAGAGTTCCTCATCCCGCCACGGCCCTCACGCATGCGAAGGTTCCGCGACGAAGAGTCGCCCGGCTACTCGTCTCGAAGGACCAGCTGGAGCTCCGAGTCGGGTGAAAGCCACGGCCCTTTCTACTCGCCCTTTGACGATTCAAGGGCTCCGTCCAGAGCCGGTAGCGATGACGATTCGAATTTCAACACTCAGACCGTCTCGGAAAAGTACAACATAACGCCCTCTGCCGGCCTCTTGTTGTTCCCCGAAGATGTTGAAAAGGACGACTATCTGCACGAGCCCGACCCAGCCGACAAAGAGCCTCGCGACTGCAACATATGGAACAAGCGTGGAATGCTCAACGTCAGCGGTCTGGCTTTGCTCTCTCTGGGCCTGCTGATGCTTTTCATCGGCTACCCCATCCTGTCCGTAACCAAGCTTACGGCCATGTCTCTAGGCTAACGTTTTGCAGCACTTTTGCCCAAAAGCTCATCGACCCCACGGGAAATGCTTGCGCAAAGGACCCGAACTGCATCGATGTCGAGCAAGATTTGCTCAAGAATATTCGGAAAGGCTTGATCGATCCTGACACTCCCGACAGTGTCAAGTCTCGCAAATCCCATTATTCGGGAAAGAAGCAAGTCCTTGTGGTACGAGTTCGTCGTTCACCTTGCAGTTTGCTGTCTAACAACAGTTGCAGTTCTCGGACGAGTTCAACACCGACGGCCGGACATTTTACGACGATGATGACCCCTACTTCCAGGCTGTTGATTTGTGGTATGGAGTGACACAGGATCTCGAGGTTTGTCCAATATACCTTGATCCTCGCACAAGCTGACGGCTTGCAGTATTACGATCCCGATGCGGTAACTACAAAAGATGGCACCCTCAATATCCGTTTCGAGGCTTTTGCAAATCACGATTTGGAGTACCGATCCGGCATGCTCCAATCGTGGAACAAACTCTGTTTCAAAGGCGGTCATCTCGAAGCATCCATTTCCCTCCCCGGCCGAGGAGACACCGTCGGTTTCTGGCCGGGTTTTTGGGCCATGGGTAACCTGGGCAGACCTGGATACGCTGCAACAACAGACGGCATGTGGCCGTACAGCTACTCGGACACCTGTGACGCCGGTATTACTGCCAACCAAAGTTCGACCGACGGTATCAACTTTCTGCCAGGGATGAGGCTACCTGCTTGCACTTGTGACGGCGAAGATCATCCGAACCAGGGAAAATCGCGGTCTGCACCTGAAATTGACGTCATCGAAGCGAGTAACGCGCCTCTAGCTTCCGGTGATTACATTGGTGTTGTCTCGCAGAGTTGCCAGTTGGCGCCTTTTGATATTTGGTACCAGCCAGACTACGGTACGTCTTTTTCAGCGCTCGACTTACAGCCGCTAACAGTAACAGACTTTTTCGAGGTTTACGATCACTCCATTACCGGGATCAACCCGTATGCTGGAGGCCCATATCAGCAGGCCATTTCCGGTCTTTCCAACCTGAACAACGATTGGTACGACGGTAAAGCATACCAGAAATATGCTTTCGATTACACTCCCGGCGAAGATGGATTCGTTACATGGTTCGTCGGTGACGATCCAATGTGGACTCTCGACGCAAGAGCAATTGGACCCAACGGAAACGTTGCTCAAAGAGTCATTCCAGAGGAACCCATGTCCATAATCGTCAACTTTGGCATGTCGGACAGTTTCTCTGCGATCAACCTGACTGGTATCGCTTCCACGTTGCCGGCGACTATGAGGATCGATTACATCCGCATCTACCAGGACGAGGATAACGAACTCATGACATGTGATCCTCCCGGTTACCCCACCACCAATTACATTTCCAGTCATCCGGAGCCATATAGCAACATTAACCTGACCAGATGGTATGATCCTTTCTCTACCTCATCTACGATTACTAACGAAGATTAGGCATCAAACCGATCACGATTGGCCAAAGAACTCTCTTGTCCATGGATGTAAGAGTTCATGAGGACTTATGACACTAGCGCCGCGTCAAAGATGTCAAACATCTCGCGTGACCTTCCTCCTCGTTCGTTTTCTTTTACTCAACTGCGTCTTGGGATCAATCCCGCCTATGCATAAATCCTGGAGTTGGTGTGGCGGGCCTTTCTTTCTCTTTGGGTAGTATTACAATTTTCCTTCCCGTGGCTTTCTCTAGCGAGAATTCCCACCATTTCTCTCCCTGGCATTCGCCACTGTTACAATACCCTTTGCACATGACCGTTATCCCTCATCACCTCCAACATTATTCTCTTACGATAAGGGACTACTTTTCTTTCCTTACCATGTCATCATGATGGAGTGCTGGCGTTGCATCAACTCAGGCTGTTATTTTTAAGTGTTGTCATATAGAGCGGGTTGGAGGATCACGAGAAATGTATAATGATTTTCAAGACACGAGCTTAGCTTGCCTATTATGCTTAAGTTTCGCGGCGACTAATATTACTAGTCTTCCGATATTAGTGACTAGTTCGTGATCGGCTAGATTAGGTTGTAAGCTTAGACGAATTCTTGACGATCGAGATGAACCACCACATACTGTTGTATATGCTCTTTGGTCCATCTTTAATATCAAGGCGTCGGAAACAACGACGATCCCGCATGAAACGGGGGGAGGAGGGTGCAAGACTCTATATAAACGTCCTCATGGCCGTCTTCCAGAAAATCGAGCGTTCTCTAGGCTGCTCTCTCTAAAAATGCTTGCCTGGACCCTCTCGCTCATGACAGAAACCACGGCCGGCTGTGGCTCAGCGCCCTCCCTCTACACTGGCACGCACAGCCTGACTATCAACACCACGCAGCAAGAGCGCACCTACATCCTCCAGCTTCCCGTCGACTACGACGCCAACACGCCGCATGCTCTCTTCTTCGGCTTCCACTGGCTGCACGGCACGCAGGAAGACGTCTACGCCAACAGCTGGTACGGGCTGCACCGCCACCATCTTCGTCGCCCCGCAAGCCATCGACAACGGCTGGCCCAACCCGAACGGCACCGACGTCGCCTTTGTCGACGCCCTGCTCTCGACGCTCTCCTCGACGCTCTGCCTCTCGACGCCCCACGTCTACGCTCTCGGCTTCAGCTACGGCGCCAGCATGTCGCGCGCGCTGGCCTGCGCCCGTCCGCGCACCTTCCGCGCCGTCGCCGCGCTCTCGGCCGGGCCTTCAGCGGGTGTGACTACGTCGGCGACGCCCCCATCGGCTTCCTCGGCCAGCACGGCGTCAACGACACGGTCATCCCCATCGCCTCCGGCCGCGGGATCAGGGACATGTTTGTGCGCAGCAACGGCTGCGGGGTGCCGCCGCAGGAGCCTCCCGCGCCCGAGCCGCTCAGCCTCAGCTGGAACAAGACCGTTTACGACGGCTGCAAGCCCGGCTGTCCCGTCTGGTGGATCGCGCACGGTGGCGGTCATGTCGCGTTGCCGGATGGTGGGGCTGGGGGTTGTCCTTTGCTCCAGCGCAGATTTGGGACTTCTTTTCGCAGTTTAAGTAGTGCGTGAATTGATAATTCGTCATGTCATGGGTGGTTGAAGCTCTTGTCCGGATGCAGATGGATAATTGTTAATTCGACATTCTTGTCCTGACGATAGCTTCAGCTACCCCTGTTCTAACTATTCATCGCTCTCTTCAGACTCATGGCCCAAAGTCTCTTCTAACAATTTGTCCCATAAATCGACGAAATTGTTAACTTCGCCCGTAACTGTACGGGACGCTTCAACAGTATCCTGAACCCTAGAGATAAGCTGGGGTTCCAGCTCATCCCAGGTCTCCTGTTCCTGTTCTTCGAGGTTAGCTGTGTCAGCCTTGAGCTCAGCAATCTTTTGAGGAAGGTTCGCTTCCTCCTCCAGCACCTTTCGATGCAACTCGAGGTTTTGTATATATGGAGTGTGCTTCAAAGTCCATTTAGCAGCACGCTCCCATTGACGGTCAGTAGTTTTCTGGCCACTCCAGTTGTTCGAGCCTGCGGGCTCGTGACTAAAACCACCGCCATCATCGATGTATCCATCACCGATGGCGGTGAACAGTATTTCGGACACTATACAGTCCGTCACGTTTGTGCACCAATAAATGGTGAACGCCTGTAAACCGTAAGTCTTCCCTTTAAAAAGAAACTTACATACTGCATCCACAAGACCCATGATGTAATTTGAGCTCTTGTGCGTCAGGTGGCACTTCGTACGCGTAAAAGCGTCGCCGTACCCGAAATACCGAAGCGGAGCTTCAAGCGGCTTGTCACGGTCCGCCTGTGGTATATTCTGGATTCGTCTCTCTAAAGCATTGCAGAACTCCTCCAAGTTCTGGACTCGATGCTCCTTCACCTTGTATTCATCGAGATCGCAGAGATAGCGTCTCCTACCTTGCTTGGCCGTGTCAGTTGTGAATCTGTTTTTCGCATCCGAGCCAACCATCTGGTCAATCTTGTTGGCCAGTTCCCATTCCCCTTTGTTGGGGTACTTCCGCAGCACTTTGATAACTTGCGTGAGCTCGTTCGCCGAAGGCGAATTTCCGTCCTTATCGACAAGAAGAATGTGGTAAATAGCCGGCGCATCTTTACCGTTGCTCAAGTTCAACCGCTCTTCGTGCGGGCGCAAGATCTTCGCTATGCCATTCCTGTCCTCTATCTTTGCCTTTGCGAGATTCCCGCCCATAATCTCTGCGAGAATAGGCGTGGGAGTCGAGGCGAGAATCGAGACGCAATGCTTGATCCAAGCGGCAGAGTCCATGTTCTTGACCTCTTTCGCCTTGATCCTGCGCAGATCTTGCTCTCGCACGTATTCCGCTAGGAAGTGGAAGCCCTTCTCTAGCTCTTGCTGGAAGGTGTTCGGTGCCGCCGGAGCAGATCCGCCAGAGGCTTGTTTCCGTGTAACAGGTCGGAAGACTGGATAAACATGCTGAGTTTCTGGCTCTGCTACAATCTCGTCCTCCTGCGAGTCCGCCTCATCCTGGCTTATCTCGGACTCTTGCGAATCCGCCTCAGTCTGGTTCATCTCAGACTCCTGGTTGGTCGAATCTGCATCAGATTCTTCCTCTAAAGCTTTGGCCGAACGCGTGTTCTCTTGCTCGCCTTGCGTTGGCTCACTATCGCTGTCGGGAGACGCCTGAGCTTCCGCAAGGTCAACGTCTTCAGACTCTGCTTCGAGGCCACTGGAAGACCCGGTCTGAATCCTTTGCTGGGCAGGTCCAACCTGCCCACCTTGCGCATTTGCGCCTGGTAGCCGTGAGCTTGTGGTAAGGGAGCGCCTAGGGCGGATCGGTATGTCGTCGCTGTCAGAAGACATGGTGATTTAGTTCGCGGTTGTTAGGTGAGGAAGGAAAGTGAGCATGCCCGCTCCTGGAGTAGCAAATGCATCCATCACCCAGCGCACGGGCCACGGTGACGATGGGCGCTCGAGGGTGTAATCTTTCGAGCGGCGGTCCTCTCTCACCCACACTCCAACATCGCATACCGAGCAATCGAAAATGCCAATTCAAAAGAAGATAACGGCATTTGGGGACTATACCCCCGCCGTGGCCTCGTGCCAGGGCATCATGCAGGATTTTGACGACGCCGCCACTGCAGCAGGAGTGCAGGTGACAGCAGTGAGTTGATTGGCGTCCTTGCAGCGCAGAAGGCAGACAAGCTGACTTTGCGCCACAGGTTGCTAAACAGCTGAAAGATGAGCTTGATCAGGAGAGCCGCTCGCAAGAAGAAGCCTCGGACAGGCTGAAGAGCGCGAAGGACATCCAGAGTCACATTCGCGTTGACACAGAGCAGCAGGCGCGACTGCTGGACCGTTTGGCTGACTCGGCTGAAAAACTGACCGGCCGCAAGTTGCAGGTACTGACGGATACGTTCGTCAATATGCAGATCCGGGTGGCTCGCGCCGAAGAGCAGACTCGCGCGACCAAACGAGAGCTCAAGAAGGCCCAGGCTGACCTCGCGGAGGCTCGGCGCGAGCTCAAAGACGCCAGGGACACTGCCAAAGCGGAGGCCAAACAAGAGGCGGAAGCATTGGCAAAGACTCTGGTGAGGAATTCGCTGGACGAATTCACAAAGGTGGCGCATGAGCGCCACACAGAAGCCATTTCTGGAGACAGACAGTGGCTTAAAGAACAGCTGAAGGAGCTGAGAGAGCAGCATCGCCAGACTTTGTCTAAAGTCTCGGCGCTGCAGTTCGAAGTGGACTTGTCTCCTCTTCAGAGGTATATCGGACAGTTCAGTGAGGAGCAACGAACTGTTGCATCCGTACTTGAGACCGTTGAATCACATACCAAGAGATTGGATGAGGTTCCGGGCAAAGTAGATCTTGACAAGCATGAGGAAAGCTTGAAAGCTAAGGTTGACGAGGCCATGGATGGTCTGATGACCAAGGTTTCATCTCTACAAGTGTCGACTGGAGAGTCTCGAGCAGCTCCCGGAATGGCGCGTGGGGGAAGAAGCGACCAAGGGGGGGGTGGATACCCTTGAAGAAGCCCTCAGTGCCCTGGGGCGGACAGTTTTGAAGGAAAATCGAACTTCAAAGGAGATTGACCGGTTGAAGGAGCTTCCAAGCGAGTGGGAGACGGCCTTGAAAAGGCTTAAAACCACCCTCGAGAGAGACGGTATGGAGTTTCCAACGGAGCAAGGCACTCCCGAGGCCGATGCACGTCGTATTTACGAATGTGTACGGCAATTGGGACCTTACTGGGAGTCCAGGAAGGCCTGGATCGACGTTGCATTTAACAACGCCGCGTCGGAAAGTCCTTTGAAGGAATGGGAAGGTCCCCATACCTCAAAGGAATTTAGAGACGTTGACGCGCAACTTCTCGCCCTGTGTAAGGAGCAGGGTGAGAAGCTTGCTGGCGAGCAGACGCAGCAGATCAAGGAACTGAGGGAACGTGAGCAGAAACTACGTTCCACAGTTGAGGAATACTCGGGGTTGATGGAGGCAGTAGAAGCAGCAATTGCAGCTCTAGACAACCAGACCTCGGGTAGCGGCCAGGACTAGATGCTTCTGGCGAGAGAGGCAGTCAGGCGTCCTGACTGCGAAGGTACGCATCGTGCACTTGTGATGGTACATCTAAGTAGTATTATGCAATGGATAGAAGATTTCGATAAAGTCGTGCATGTTTAGATACTCTCTAACTAAGAAACATTAGCATAGGGTCGAGTTCAATGGTGCACGAAATCGATATGAAGATTGATATGAGAATACGAAGCGCACACGTACAGGACCAACACGGCGGGCTACTTTGTGAAATGCGAGCAAAGAAGAAGTGTGTATCCCTTAAGTTCCAGACAAGTCAAGCTTCACGGACCGTGGGGACGGATCAGTCTTATGGGAGAGGAGACATCGCAGCAGCGAAGTGCGGGGTGTGCGAAGAATGCTGCAGTGGTTCAATGCGAGTCAGCATCTGCTGGCGAGTCAAGTCCTCACGAGTCATGCGCATTGCGAGCCCTTTGCTATACCGGATATGGTAGCACTTCCGCCACGCCCGCCAGAACACCGGCCGCGACTTTAATGAAGGTTGTGGGCGCAACGCTCTGCTGCATCACTTCGCAATCCAATGTCCGGCTGAAGGCATTGCCTCTCCAGCACCTACCGCCTACTTAGTAGGGCTGTTTGAGAATGGTTACAAGGAAAGTAGTTCGCAGTGAATGCAGCGATATCAGGGCTCGGTACGCTCACAAGCGAAGCCTCATCACTATTTCCCGTAGCATTCTCTCCAAATGAGAGCCCTAGGGAGTCACACAAGGCGCATCAAGGCAAATAAGATGTGGCCCATCGACGTCTCGTTTAAACCAATAGCCCACCTTGATTTGCCTAGGCTCCAGGCGCACACTGTTGAGCAGACCCCTTAGCGCTCTGCTAAAACCGCTTGTGTGCTATTCCAAAACAAGGAAAGTGCCCCGCCACGTCCTGCCTAACATGGTAGCTGTGGCAGCGCGGTCGACTTAGTGAGAGCCGCGGTGTCAGCGTCACAGTTGCGGCCATCCACAACCAGATCTTTTTGAGTGCCCGGACACTACCATGAGCTTCTTTTGCTCTTCCTTTCTTTCCTCACAAGATTTCTTTCTTTTTAAGCTTGCCTCGCTGCGCTACGCCGCCAGTTCGGCCTCGCTTCACAGGGCAGCACCCGAGTGAGTCGCCAGCTCGTCCAACGCGCAACAAAGTCGTCACGATACCACCGCTCCCTTCTTTTCGCTCGCATATCATTGTCAGCTCAAGCGTGCTCCTAGGATCCTGCTGTCGCAAGCTCAAGTCGTCGCCATCAAGCTGTCCAGCCCAGTAGATCTTATACTCTGCCCCACTCGGCCCGACCATCCTCGGATAGAAGCATATTTGCTAGCAGCGTTCTCAGGCTTCTGTTGTGGTGGTGGAGGATGTGTAGATGGTTGGCTTTTTCTTTCGTTACTTGCGAAGGCAGGCCGGCTGGCCAAGGCTTCGGCCTTCTAGACTGGGTTTGTATAGGCACGGAACACGGGTATAAAAGTGGCTTTCCTTAGATAGCTTACAACAACAATTCACTCTCTTTTGCTTCTGCTTGTTCAGGCCTCATCAGCGCTGTTCCTTGCCTCCTGCCTTCTCATTTCAACGTGTTCACTGCTACGACCGATCATCCTGGGTTCTGCCCAAACGTCCAACCCCTCGTCACTGTGTCGCAGCGTTTCGCCAGCCCGATGCTCACCTCTCCCATATTCCCGTCATGCACCCAGTTATATCAACGCCTCAGAGGTGCTGTTTGGTAATTACCCCATGGATTTTCTGCGCGAATGGACGCTAAACAACAATAGTAAGAGAAAGCAGCTGCCTTTTCAAGGGGGGCAATTACCGATGGGGTCGGAGTTGGGATTTTCGGCGCAAATACGGGTCACTTTTGGTAATTGCCCCAAATTGAATTAAGTGCATTACGGCGCGAGATCTCTACTAGCATTTAGTTGTTCCTTTCTCTTCGTGGTACTTCTTGTTGTCTCTACACCTAAAGAACTCATCTTTCTCTAGAGTTTTAATGTACTTTATGACGACTAGAATAAGGGATTTGAAACGCACCGCCTTACGCGTAACTGCTGCGTTGTCTTCTGATCAGCTGCATAATAATCTTGTTGGCTAGCTTGGCTCGCGTCGCCCAAACGTACGTCCTACTCGAAGTACTACTTGTAGCGCTTTTGGCCCTTTGTTAACTCATCCAACGCGGTTGAATTAAGAGTGCTCTTTCGGGATCTTGCACTGCTGCTATTCCACGTCCAAAATGGGTCCTCGAAGACAGTTCTAAGAAAACAGCTTAGAGATCTGTCGATCGTCGGGATCGGGATACTTGCGGAAGCATATCGACTTCTAGCGCTGCAAAGGTAGTTCTTATTAGTGTAGATTCGAGTATGAAGGTGACAACAGTTGCTTCAAATTGTGTTCTCGTAGGGGAAAAATGAATTTTCGTTGCTGGGGCATCGTCGAGTGGCTCCCCTGCAAGCGCCGGGTGACTTCATAAGAAAGAAGTTTTTTTCTCTGCTGATAGGAATTCCAGGTTCTCTGATACCTCTTCGCACGGTCGGTTCGGTACGCTTGAGAGAGCTTTGTCTTCAAAATCGTAGCAACTCTATGTAAACGCAACACATCTGGCACTAAAGGCTTGTACCTGGCGTCTCTTGGTAGTGCTTTACCCTCCCTGCTTGGTCTCTTTGATTGGTCGACTCTTCGACAAGCGGGTCATCCCTTCCCAAGGGGGGACGCTACCGAGGATAGTCTTGTACTGGTTGTCCCCCACCTGGTTGATTCGAACACCTAGAAGCCTATATATGAAGCTACACTTTGCAATACTGATCCTCGTGAGCGACAAAATAAGCGATCCATTTGCTTGGGGCGGTCGCCATTTTGATTTTTGGGGTAATTACTAAAAACGACCCGTATTTATATCGAAATCACCAAATCCGACCCTCCAGCCCAAAAGCGACCCCTCTGCTAAAATCCACCATATTTAACGCGTCGTAAAAGTTCAACAATACTAGAATTCTTATTTCTTTTCTATTATAATGATAATAGCTAAGCCTAAAGATATCTACTATAGTAAAAAATAGAGATTCTAATAAGAGAGTGTTGACTTATATAAGTAGACGGGTCGCTTTAGGTCGCTTTTAGGCTGAAGGGTCGGATTTGGTGATTTCGCGACAAATACGGGTCGCTTTTGGTAATTGCCCCTTGATTTTTTTTTTTGCACAAAATCTTATCGCGATACGGGCTGTTAGAACCGCCATCTTACCACCTTAAAGCACCAAGGGAGCGGGAAGCTGTCGCAGCGTCGGCGATGAGAGGTGTACTGGAAGAGATGAAAATTTGTCGGCGCTCGGAGAGGGTCGGTTGAACAGCGATTCTGTCGGCGCAGTCGAGAGAAGAAGACGTCGCGGAAGCTTAGGAGGCGGGTCCCTGGCGTGGTTGTAGGCGCTTTGAGGTAGGGCGAGTTGGGGGCAGCGGGCGGGTGGTAAGAGTCACGGTCACGACCATCGCTCGCTCACGGACCACGGTGTTGAACAGACCTCTTGGCGCGCTGCCACGCTAGTCCAAACCAAGAAAAGCGCCTCCGCGTCCTGCCTAGTATGGCAGCGGCCGTCTTCCATGAGGACCGCGAGCTCACCGTCACGGATGCGGCCATCCACCACCAGATTTTTTAAGCGCATGTTTGCTCTCATGAGCTTCTTCTGTGCTTGTTCTTGTCCCTCCCAAGGGTTTTCTTCTTTTGAGGCTTGCCTTGTCGCGCTACGCCGCCCGATTGCATCACTACGCCGCCGGCCGGCCTCACTTCCTAGGGCAATGCTCGAGTGAAATTGCCGCTTCTTCTAACATTGGAAAAGGGATCAGCGGGGCTTTTTCTTCATTTCTGAGTATATTTCTCAGTCTCCAGAGGCGTTGTGAAGTGCGAGTGGCCCAAAATCTCACTCACTATGCCCACGGCTCACCCGAATTGAGGCCAACCTCACCCACGACCTCATTTGGTGACTGCCATCACAGCTCTGGCGCTTCATGAAGTATGTACCTTGCCTCTTAGGCAGTTTGCGCCCAAGCTCACACCTGAGCGTGGTAGTGCGCACCATGGAGCCCACTCGGCTCTCCCGCTCGCCTCGCATATCTCTCTCATCAGCCTCAATGACAGTCTCCGCCTCCCAGGGCATCCGGCAGCTTAATGGTCGCCATCACCTCTCACTTGCCGCAGCAGTACACTTGCCCAACCCCAGTCTCGCAGCACCTCACCCGTCTAAGGCTCATATTCCCGTCATGAACCGAGTTTATCGTCTTAGCGCCTTTACTGAGATAAGAGACATCCCTCAGGTTGGACACTCTTTGACGGGATTCAGTGCCACTCGCCGTCTCTATAATGCTCGCTTAATATTCTCCCAGGCGGGACAGTCTTCTAGGGTATCGAGACGTCATCACTCCCTCATGACGAGCAGCACCTTCTCTCACATCCTAGGCTTACACCGATACTGATGAAACCCCTACGAGAGATACTTAAGACCTCCGCGCAGGAAATACGGAGTACGCCTACAACAGGAACAGGCCCTTACATCTTCGCTATTACCTTGCGTGAAGTCATCCGCGAAAACCAGACAACGCAGGTTGACCGAAAGACTATCCTTCGAGTGAAGACTTGGATGAAGACAAACAATAAAGAGTGTGTTACAGACACACGCAGCTAGTCACTTCTTGAGCTTTCCAGCATACAATTAGTGCAACACCAATGTCTCGCACATCGGAATCCAACAGTTTCCCTCCAACACTCTGGCAATCGGACGACAACGCCGGGAAAAGACTACATAAAGTACTCGGGGATCTTTCGTACGCCGCCATCTCATTTAGCCGTGTGGGGATAACTGTCTGCTGTGATAGCATCAGAACTCCGAACGACCCACCAAATGGCAGTAGCTGTGTTACCCAACATGTTGCGCCTTACAGGAATTCTCAAAGCGATAGAGCATGAGTCTCGCGTACACGTTAACTACAAACAACCTGCCAGCGGC